CTAGCCTGCCCTTTCCTAAAGAATCTCTGCTAGGCTGCCCTTTCCTAAAGAATCTCTGCTAGCCTGCCCTTTCCTAAAGAATCGCTGCTAGCCGGCTCTCTCCTAAAAAATCTGCCTGCCGTGTCCGGTACTGGTTCCTTAGCGAGGGGTGTTATTCATGAATATGAGAATAATATGCAATATAGGCTATTTTAGTACCTTTGTAGAGAGGCAAAGCCCGTAAAAATTGCTAAGAAAACTGTGACTTTTTGGAAAAATCAAGAAAGCAGGCTAGCAGAGATTCCTTAGGAAACTTCTCGCTCCAAAACACAGGTAATAAAACGAGTGAACTCTGCAATCAACCAAGAGTTGCCGTCGGTCCTAAACGACTTTTCTTCCCCGGCTCAAAGCGATCAAAAAGTTTCAAGTCAGATCGAGGAGGCGATAAAACGAGAGAGAGAGCGAGAGAGAGAGAGAGAGCGAGAGAGATCAAGAAAAAACACCTAGAAATGCCATCCCAATGGGCCCGATCGGTCACGGGATTCTCATATATTTAGCTTTGGGGGAAGACCCCCTGAAATCCCGTGACCCGGCACCAGACTTTTTAGTTTATATTTAGCCCCCAGTGTCTTGAGGGGGATGTCTGGTGGCAGCGAAAAAACTCAGGCAGACTAGCAAACATTCTTCAGGAAAAAAGAGGCTTGCAGCGCTTCGTGAGACTGTAATAGGGCTACCGTAACTTTTTTAGGCCCCTCCGAATAGCCGCTAATCTGGAGGGCTGGCGCGCGTCGAAAGGGCAGTTTCGGGGGCGGCTAGCAGCTCTTGCTCAGGGCTAAGGAACGCCAGGTATTCTCTGTCTCTCTATCCCTCTCTCTCTCTCTCTCTCTGACTAATAATCCGGCGCGTAGCCGCCGGCAATTTCTGCCACTACCCCCGGCTAATGCCTTTAATGCACCTGAGAACGTTGGTCTAACTTTCCCCTGCTTTTAAAGGGCGCGGAAAGCGAGAAGAAAGAGGAGGGGAATGCTAGCAGAGATTCTTTAGGAAAGGGCAGGCTAGCAGAGATTCTTTAGAAAAAGGCAGGCTAGCAGAGATTCTTTAGGAAATGGGCAGGCTAGCAGAGATTCTTTAGGAAATGGGCGGCTAGCAGAGAGTCTTTAGGAAGGGGATTTTAGGCAGCGATTTTTAGGGAATACCTCAAAATAGGACAAAAATGCTAAAATAAGCATCAAATCTGGAGATCCAATGCGAAAATCGAGAGTGACGCCTTGAATATAGCCGAAGAGCACTTAAAAGCACTGTTCCTGCCACCCCCTTCCGCTACGCAACAATCCTCTAGACACCCCTCCCCCTTTAAAGGGCCATTGAAGTGTTCTCGAGCCTTATCTGACAGCCGCCCTCCCCCCGTCCTCGCTTGAGAAACTATGCATAAGGTGGTAAAGAGAGATTGGGGTCAAGGCCCAAAGCGTTTTGTGATGCCCTCCGGGCACATCCGGCCGATCTCTCCTCTAACCACCAGCAAAACTGGAGTAGAATGGAGGTGAGAGAGAGAGAGAGAGAGAGAGAGAGAGAGAGAGAGCGAAAGCAAATAGTGCCCCCAGGCTATTTCCCCTCGCTTGCTCTGGCCGGTCCAGAGGAGCGAAATGGAAATCTGGAATCGAGAGAGGGAAACTTGAACTGGACGACGACTGTAATTTACGTTTTGGGAGGGGCAGGCTAGCAGAGATTCTTTAGGAAGCGAAACACGTCGAACCAAGGTGAGCCACCACCCCCTATGGAACCGAAAACAATATGCAGCCCGAATGGACGGTAATTGGCGCAATCGACGAGTTCCGCCCGCATACCTCTTGACATGCCAAGATGGTACCGAATAGCGTTCTCTAATTCTCTACAGAGTCCATGCTCTCGCTCTCTCTCTCGCTCTCTCTCTCTATCTCTCTCTCTCTCGCTCTCTCTCTCTCTCTCTCTCTCACTCTCTATCTCTCGCTCTCTACTCTGACTCATCTCTAGAGGACATTGTTGCCTTACCAGACATGGCCTTCGTTTAGAAAACAGTCAGCTAGCAGAGATTCTCTAGGAACGGGCAGGCTGGCAGAGATTCTTTAGGAAAAAGTAGGCAGTTGTCGACAAAACCGTTGACCACCCAGGCAGCCGCAGCCGTCTTTTGTAAAGTCGTAATCCTGGGGGAAATGGGTTTTTTGGCCCGGGTGGAATTGGGTGTTATTTGTAGCCTGAGGGAACGTTAATGAGGAAAAATTACTACAAACCACTTAAAAATAACTAAGATAAATCGATAAAAATTGTTAACACTGCAAAACTGCGTCAGCATCCTAAAATCGTCAAGCCCCGATGGGAAGCAGCAGAATCAAAATGCCAGCCTGGTGGGTGGGGGCGTCAGTGGGAGTCGAATGGAATGGAATATAAACAATGAGGACATGGCCCGCTGAACGCCCCAAAGAATTGATTGATTAGGTCATGAAAAAAGTAGCAAATAAACGAAAATGTAAGCACAAAAAAGGTCCATAAACAGTAGGGCGCTAGGGCAGGCTAGCAGGTATTCTTTGAGACAGCTCGCTACGGTAAAACAGACGCACTTTTTTAATGGAAAGTGTAAAAGGCGTATCGCGTACTTCTTTACGCCATGAAACTGCGTAGAGAAATTCTTCTACGGTAGCGGCTAAGATGTTATCTTATACAAAGCCCTCATTCGGCAAGCGTCAAGAGGTGTATCGCGTAGTTCCTTACGCGACGAAAAGGAAGGAAATAAAAGAAAAATGGTCAAAAGATTCGGTATGATAGAGCATGCCAGCAGAGATTCTTTGAGAAATTCTAAAATTGTAGGTGCCCAGAGGTGTATCACGTTCTACATTACGCCATGAAAATGTCTAACCAGGGCAAGCTAGCAGAGATTCTTTACGAAATCGCCATATGCTAACCGCTAAATCCCAGCCCTCTAATCGAAAGTGTGAATGGTGTATGTCGCGGTATGGTGTGGCCGGGATGTTCAATGAAATGTGTAAAGCCATAATCGGTCTCTTCGAATGGGGGTCACCCGGCTGGGCCGAGATGTCCCCCATTCCGCCCGTTCTCACCGCCCGGAGGGCACAAAAACCCGCAGCGCGGCAGCCGAGACGTGTACGCCGGGTGATTGGGAAAAGCCGCGTGAATCAGCGCCACAGGTGCGTATCAGGATAGAATGAATACGAAGAGGCGTCGTTACTTTAAAGGTATCGTCAAGGCTAGATTTTCTTAAGTTAATTTAGCCGCGAAACAAACGTTGTTTTGATGAACCAATTTTTCAAAACTAAATAGTGGGAATGTTTCGAAACGTTTTTACTAATTCTAAACCCGAAAACTTTACAAATTTTTATTCAACAGATAAAAAGAAAGGTTTGCGACCAAAAATTGTTCTTGAATCGAAGTTTTTAGGTAGAAATAATGGAAGTTTTTCTAGACAGTGTTTTACTATTTCAAAACGTAAAAACTTGGCCTCAGCAAAATTTTATTAAAAAATAAAATATATAGATTTTTCCACCAAAAATGACCGAGTTTTGACCAAATGTCGATTCCTTCAAAACTTTTTTACGTTTTTAGATAGTTTTTCCAGTTGAAATCATGGTAAATTTTCCTAAAAAACACTATTAAGACATTTGCTGTTAAATTACTAGACGTTTCTAGACTTGTACAAACAAGTTCGGTCCCCCCCCCCGATAATGCGAAAGAACCGAAAGAGCTTGTTACGTTTACGTTTCATTACGGAACGTAATTTCGGCCGCGTGCGTTGGTGATCTATAGCCAAAACCGGGCTAAAATGCCTTGCCAATCCCTTTAAAACGACGTAGAATTGCGATAAACGCAGAAATATTTTTTAGAATTTTGGAAAGCTGTCAATTGGAAGCCGGTATTACAACGCTTCCAAATCTGCTAGAACATCATGTAAACCTCAAGGTGAAGCTTTTCATTAATTCAAAAATTATGATTAAAAACCCTAAAAAAAGGAAAATTTATAAGTTTTCAAAAATTCGAATTCGCGCGCCAAGTCGCTAGTGTCTGGGCCGCGAATTAGGCAGCCGATTGTGAGTGTGTATTTGTTTGGGGGCGCGTCGCGCGATTTCCCTGTTGTGATCGCGTGAGAGAGAGGGCGAGAGAGAGAGAGAGAGAGAGAGAGAGAGCGAGAGAGAGAGAGAATAAACTGGCGACGGCCAAGAATTGATTGAGGCGAGGGCCACCCCTTCTCTCTCTCCTTCTCCCCCTTTTCTAACCTATCCCAGCAGCTGTCCCCCCGACTGCCCATCAATCTTTTTTGGCTAAAAGTTTTCTAAAACTAGTATTAATATTCTATAACGCCTGCCGAGGGTATATTTGGGTTCTATTTTCGGATTCCCCATGAAAAATCGGCCCCCGCAACGGCGTCGCCGCAGCGACTGAACAGGTGGGAAATACTTTTTCGTGTTTTTAAGGTTTTAACTTTGTTTTTCCTACTTCCTAACTTTGTAATTTAATAATCAATGTTTTTACAACTGCAAATGATTAGAAAAATAATTACTACGGGAAAATAAATTCATTTTGGCAACTTTAAGGTTTACGGCGAAGAAAATCGCACGTTTTATCTGCTTGTAAGTCTTAGGTTTATTTCCATGCCTTTTAAACTTGCTAACTCTAAAATCAGCTGTTTTACAACCTCTAATGATTTTAATTATGTTTTAATGCAGAAATAAACTGCAAACGCCACGCAAAATGGCATATTTTAGCTGCGTTTAGTTTCAGAAGTGATTTTAAGGCTTTTTAAAACTTTCTAAATTAATAATCAAGGTTTTTGCACGCGTCAATGATAAGGAAATCGCTTTATACTAAAAAAAAATACACCATTCCGCAAGTTCAAAGTTCACCGCAAACAAAATCACACGTTTTATATGTTTTTAAGTTTCAGAAGTGTTTTTCCTACTTTTTTAGGCGTCCTAAACACATATTAAAAATAATTTAACATCAAAAAACTTCAAAATCGCAATTTTCAGGCATTGATGGCCAGCAGCAGCGCAGCCGTCGACCACCAGGCCGTCGTCGGCGACCTGGAAAAGCAGTTTCGGGCGCTGCTGAGGGGCCGCAACTCGTCGAAACGGAAAAGCGGGCAGCCGGCCGACGCGAAGAAGGAGCTGACGATCAAGCTGCGGTATAAGAGCGAGAATACGAAGGTAGGCAAGGTTTTTGGGGGTCTTGCGAGCTTCTTTGTGCCGTTGTTGAGCAAAAAAAGTATATTTTTCTTGAAAAACTGTATCAAAAACTATGTAAAAACCGAATAGAACGATGAAAACGAACACAATTCTATAAATAAACTATATAAAAGCTATATATAACCCGTCAACAATGTAAACAATTTAGATTTCACTACCAAGAAACGAAAATGGCACCGTCGACTTCTTGGAGTTGGGCGAATACCTGCAACGAACCTACGGGCAGCGGATGAACATGTTTTATACATATGTAGGTCTTGAATCTGCCTTTTTTAAACTTGAAAATACATATTGATTCCATTAGATAGGTTTAAATTTTATTAGAATTGAAGAATTTGATGAATAAATCTGATTCACCTAAGTTTGTAATGTTCTAAAGCTTAGAAACTATAGTTTGAGTGTACCTTTTGTAGTTTCTAGCTCTTTTCTCGACCATAAATCAAACTACATCAGTTTTTTCTTATCATAAAAGTTGTAAAATGTATTTTAAAGCATTTTGTGGCCCCTTTTCTACGTAAACTACCCATTTTTTAGCACGGCAGCAACATCATGGTAGCGATCACGAACCAGAAAGAGCTGGACACGGCTGTGCAGGTGGGGGTTTTGGCATGCTAGCAGTGATTTTTGGGGAAAACGTTCTAGAAAATACTTTTAAAATAAGTTTTCGTTTAGATGGTCGACCGAACGGGGCAGAAGAACCTCTACATCATCCTGTCGATGCACGAGGGCTCGTCTAGACAGCCGCTATCGATGATGCCCGATGAGTCCGGCGTGTATACATTGAGGGTAAGTCATGTTTATTACTTTAAAAGTAGCTTAAAACGGTCTGGAATAGTTTTTGAACTTTTTCTAAAGTCCTAGAAGTTTTCGCATGCTTTTTTAGCTATGGAAAAGCCCATAAAAAGTTACGTAGGCTACGAAAATCTTATGAAACTTTATTTAGAAGCTTTATAACCGTTTTAAAGTATGTTTTTATCTAATCGGAGTGTTTTTATCTAATCGGTACATTTTATCTAATCTAATATCTAATGTTTAATTTTCCTTTTTCATAGTTTTTTTGTTTTAGTTTTTGTCTTTTTGGCCATTTTTCTTCTGGTAGACCTTGTATTAAACTTTTTAAAATTTGTTAAATACTTTATCATACTTTACTTCCAGGTAATCGAAGTGCCCTACACGAACAACACGCCCGAGCCGGCCGTCTCGACGCGCATGCTCAGCGCGGCCAGTTTGGACAGCGGTGCCGGATCGTTTGGAGCTGTAAGTTTGTTTAGTTCTTTATTTAAACCTATTAATAGTATACTTAAATAGTATTATTCATTTTATAAAGGTTATCGACGTAAAAATGACAATTTTCCGCTTTTTAGAGCACCTCCAATCAACCGACGCTGCCCGTCAATTGGCGCAAGGGCAGATCGCTGGGTCGTGGAGCTTACGGAGAGGTAAAACGGGCTTGTAATTTTTGTAAAAAATAACGTTTAACTGGTTCAGCTAGTGTTATTAATAATAATTACTAATCAGAATATAATACTTTTGTAATCAACAAATGCTTGTTATAAGGACTAAAAGGATATTATGAGTAGTAATATACGTAATATAACGTAAAATTTAGGTATTTGTCGCCTACGACATGGACACGTCGCGTGAAATCTGCCTGAAGCACATCCTCATCTCCTCCGATGAGACGTCGCGGCGGGACCTCAGCTCGTTCGAGACGGACGTCATTCGATTGGCGCAGATACAGTTGGTTTTTATTTTGTCGTAACTCGGGGCAGAATTACTGTATGGGCAGGCTAGCAGGATTCATTGAGGAATTTTGGGGCAAACTAGCAAGGTTTTTGAGGAATTTTGATCCACCTAGCAAAGATTTTTGAGGAAAAACGTGGCAGGCTAGCAAGGTTTCTTTAGGAATTGTGAGGAGAACTAGCGGAGGTCCGTTCGGAAATGTCGAGCAGTCAAGCAGAGTTCATTGAGGAATTTTGGGCAAGCTAGCAGGGTTCTTTTGGGAAATTTACGGACCCAAGAATGGTTTTTTTAGGCAAGACAGGGCAGACTAGCGGTGTTTCTTTGGGAATTGTGAGGCGAACTGGCCGAGATCCGCTCGGAAATAGAGTTTTTGGGCAAGCTAGCAGGGTTTATTGAGGAATTTAGGACAATCAGGCACAATTTATGACGAATTTACGTAGTAAAAAGGTTTTTTTGAGCAAAAATGGCAGACTAGCCGTGGGTGGCCGATCACCTGTTCGAAAAGTCATCTGTTCGAAAATCATCCGTTCGAAAAATCACCTATTCGAAAAAGGTCCCAAATGGGGAAAATGGGAAGCTATTGCTATTAAAATGCTGTGTTTCGCATGTTTCGTGGGAAAGTTCGAGGAAAATCTGAAACTGCGCGGCTATATCGAATCCTCCGCCAAGCCAAAGAAGCGCCCGAGGGTGACCATCGACGAGCAGCAGCAGCTCTGCGAGAACTACATCAAAGAATATATGGCCGAGTTCCTCGACAACATCGCCAAAACTTTAACCTGAATCGTCATGAATATGTCTTTTAAGGTCTTTTTGTTTTTTTGTCATGAAAAGACTTTTCAAAAAACGTGAATCTTGGAAAAGTTGTTGCTTGGAAACGGTGATTTTTCGAACAGATGTCTTTTCGAACAGATGATTTTCGAACAGATGACTTTTCGAACAGATGAATTTTCGAACAGATGTCTTTTCGAACAGATGATTTTCGAACAGATGATTTTTCGAACGGATGATTTTCGAACAGGTGATAGGGGAATCCTAGCCGTGTTGATTTAGGAAATGTCAGGCCAACTTGCAGAGATTCTTTTGGAAAACTAGAGGCAATCTAGCAAATATCATTTGCACCTTCCGTCCTATTAATGCTCAATTTCCAGACATCCGCGCCTCGTCCGCTACCTCGGCGTCTCCACGATGCCCACCGACGTGCTGATTTTTATGGAATTCATGACCGGCGGTTCCGTCAAGGTGGGTGGATTTTGACTTGCCGGTTCCTTTAAAAATGATTTTGTGGCTTCAATTTAATCGAATTAATTTTAAGGACCTGATCAACCAGTTCGGGAATCTCAGCGAGAAGGTGGCCGAAAAGTACGCGCGCCAAGTGCTCGAAGGGCTCATCTTTTTGCACGAGGAAATGATCGCGCATCGCGATATTAAGGTGAGATTAAACGGATTTTCAGAGTTAAAAATTAGCGTTTTTTACCTAATTCTAGGTTATCTTGCAGGGTTTTTTGAGGAAATTTAGGCAACCTTGCGGTGTTTATTTGGGAAAAGGATAGGCTAGCAGAGAGATTTTAGGAAATGGCAGGCTAGCAGAGATTTTTTAGGAAAGGGCAGGCTAGCAGAAATTCTTTGGGAAAGGGCAAGCTAGCAGAGATTCTTTAGGAAAGGGCAGGCTAGCAAAGATTCTTTAGGAAAGGGCAAGCTAGCAGAGATTATTTCGACCGATTAATCGATCTAAACCGATTTTTTCAGAGCGCCAACCTGATGCGCGACATCAACGGCAGCGTGAAGATTGGGGATTTCGGCTCGGCCAAGCAGCTACAGGTTAGGAATTTAGTTTTTTTTTGTTTTTAAGGGTTCAAAAAATTAAATGAAAATATTAAAAGTTAAAATGGAGGTGCAGTAATCTCCAAATCATGCGTTTTTTTTAGGCTCTCGCAACTCAACGCGGCTCCTGCGGCGGCACTCCGCACTATTTGGCCCCGGAAGTGGTCCTCGGCGAGAAAGAGTGAGTTTTTTTGGGATTTAAAGGACCATTGAAGACAAAGCTATATACGAATTCGTGAAATTTAATGCTCTTTTTCAGTGCTGGCCGTCGAGCGGATATCTGGAGCCTCGGGGTGACGCTCGTCGAGATGGTGACTGGAAGTGTGCCGTATCGGGTAAATTACTATTTGCAGTTTAACGCGCTTTAAAAATTTTCATAAAATTTTTTGGTATTGTTAATTTTAACTACTTTTTTTAGAAGCTCCCCGACATGGAAGCAACGCTAAAAATTGCCTTCGAAGAGCCACAGTCGGAATTGCCGGAAAAGGTGATTTTTGGCTTTTTTTTCTAAAGAATCTCCGCTAGCCTCCCGATTTTATCCTTATTTATTTATTTTATTCTCTCATTTTTGGCCCGAAATTCATCACCATTTTTCAGATTAATCCCACGCTGCGGACGCTGGCCAGGCTGTTGATGACGAAAAACTACGACGACCGGCCGACGGCTCGCCAAATCTGGGAATCGACCGTCTGGACGGTGCCGGATTAATTTTTCTGTGGTATTTTTGCATTAATTACTAGTTTTTTTGTTGTTTTTAGGCCGTTATTAGTACTACAACGTATTCAGGGTATTTTTAGACCTTCCTAGCCCTTTAGATGCTGTCATTTCTGGGTTCTTTCGCATTATCGGGGGGCCCTAATTTTTTCTAAGTCTCCATAAATGCCTAAAAACGTAAAAGTAAACATTTTAATAGTGTTATTGGTAAAATTTGTCTATATTTCAATTTAAAAACATTAAAAAAACGTTGCAAAATTTTTTAGGTGAAATTTTGGTCGAAAATCGTCAATTTTTGTAGAAAAATCGAATTTTTTATATTTTATAAACGAAATTTGTAAAGTTTTTACTTTGATGAATTGTAAAAAAACAATAGAAACACTCGCTCGATTTATATTAAAAAATTTGGATCCTTAGAAAAAAGTCATTCCACCCCCCACCCCCCGATAATGCAACAGAACCAATTTTTTTATTACTGTAAAAATGTATATTATTCTGTTTTCCAATTAATTTGTAATTTTTTAATGTCTTTTTGCCTTTTTTATACCATTTTACGCTCATTTTCAAAACTCTCACTTTCAATTTTCACTTATTTACGGGTTGTCCACGCCGCGTCACTTATACATTTGTCATTTTTGAGATTATTCTGGTCATATTTGGTGTTATTTTGTGTAATAAACAATTTTTGCTACTTTTTGTACTGTATTAATCTATAAAAACGATTGATCGACGGTTTCCTATTTTTTTTGTTACCGTAATCATGATTTATTCCTTTGGGTTTTTTTCAGGAAAATGCTCGGGTCGCTGCGGGACACGTTGGCCAGTGTGCAAAACGAGCTGGCAAGCGGGTAAATTTTGATTTTGTTGATATTCCGTTAATTTAATTTTAATTATATAGAATTTTTGGTTAACTTATATAGATTTATATTAATTTTTTCAAGGTTGTAAAAAGGGTTTTTAACTTTTTTTTCCCTCCCTCCCCCCAAACAATAAAAATTTTTCCTTTTTTAAAAATTTTATTATTATTTTTTTAAAAAAAAAAAAAAAGGATTAAAAAAAATATAAAAGTTTACAAACAAATTGTGTTTAAAAAAAAAAGATTTATAAAAAAAAAGGAAAAAAAATAATAAAGAAAAAAAAAAAAAAAAAAAAAAAAAAAAAAAAAAAAAGAAAAAAAAAAAGTAATAAAAAATTAATAGAAAGAAAAAAGAAAAAAAAAAAAATTTTTCCTCCCCATACCCCCTTTTGGTGTGTTTTAGGACGTTGAAAAAAAGGGAGGGAAGAAGAAAAGGAGGAAAAAAAAAAAAAAAAAAAAAAAAATTTTAAATTGGAATTTTTGAAATAATATTTATATAGCTTTAAATAGCGATTTTTTTCCAGTTTAAATCGTTTTAAATGTCGTTTTTTGTGTTTTAGCACCGAAAAATTCGGGCAACGCTTTGACCGCTTTTACGGGCAGCTGGCCGAGAAAGTCAACGGAACCGCGTAAAATTCGGAATTTTGGAATTTGCACATTTTTCTGGGCTTTTTGGGTCGCTTTGGGATGCTTTTTGGGTTTTGAAGGGACTAGGAAGTCAGGGAGGTGGTTTTGAGCGATAGTTGGTGATTCAGGCGGGCTCGGAGAGATAATTTAGGAAAGGGCAGGCTAGCAGAGATTCTTTAGGAAAGGGCAGTCTAGCAGAGATTCTTTTGGAAAGGGCAGGCTAGCAGCGATTTTTTGGGAAAGGGCAGGCTAGCAGAGATTCATTAGGACAGGGCAGGCTAGCAGCGATTCTTTAGGAAAGGGCAGGCTAGCAGAGATTCTTTAGTAAAGGGCAGGCTAGCAGAGATTCTTTAGGAAAGGGCAGGCTAGCAGAGATTCTTGGGAATCCAGAATGGAGGACACCCAGAGATTTTCAGGAACTCCCGCAGCATTCTAGCAAAAATTTTGGGAATTCGGACCATTTTGGGCAGGCTAGCAGGGATTCAAGAGGTTTCCCGGCGCAAATCTTTGAGCCTAAATGCACTCTGCGAGCTTGCCGTTTTCAGAAAAAATCGCTTACCAACTCCAGAATTCCTTCCTTGGCTTCCCAGTCCCTTTAAAATTGTAAAATTTTATGATTCAGGTTTAATTTTCAATTTTCAGCGTGGAACGCCTGCGCATCAACGTGGTGCCCTCTTCGATGACCCAGCAACGGTACGCAATTTTTTTTAACGGATTGAATTTTTAATGGTTTTTAATTGGTTTTTAACGGCTAGGTTTAGTATAGCTTTTTGATGGAATTTTCAGTACCCGATGACGCACCGTCGTCCGAAAGGTCTCGGCAGGAAATAAGCGGATTAGCATAAAAATTCCGCGAGCGCACCTAGCTAGAGCAATTTCGCAGCCCTAGCGGCTTAAAAATTCGATACAACTAGTTTTTAAATCTAACATAAAATACTAGATTCTATTTTGGGATGCTTGCCGCAATTTGGTCGTCAGAAACGTTGTAATATTTGTATTTTAAGCTTTAATTAGAGCTTAATTTTAATTTAAGTAGTTTCTTTTAATTAATTTCATTTTTAGCTTCATTTTTGAGCTGAAGTGTTTCTTAATGACTTGTTTTGAGGCTTTTGCTGTGTTATTTAGGGTAGCAGCAAAATTCTTGTATTTTGTTTTATATCAACTTAATTCTTGTTTTTAGATGCCCGATCGAGACGGTGAACGAGCTGGTCAACACAGGAGCCGGGAGCGATTTGTTGTTAAAGTTAGTGTTTTTTTGCGGCATTTGGGTTTTTTATGGGAAATTTTCGGCGTGTTGTATTTTATATTTTGGGGTTTTGAAGCCCATTCCCTGGTTTAACACTGAAAAATCGTCCGAAAAATTGTCGGTTTTTAGCTTGGTGTTATTTTTAACCTATTTAACTTATTTTTTAATTTTTAACTTTTAAAAATTTTTTGACAACTTTTTAACTTTTTTTACAGCTTTTTAGCTGATTTTTAACTCTGTGAAACAATGTTTTTATGAGCGTTTAGGATTTTTTCGACGTAATTTAGCCCGGAATTTTTAGTTGTGTTTTTTTGGGGGCAGTTTTGGCGTTTTGTATTTTGTAGTTTCGGGTTTTGCGGTCCATTTCGTGGTTTTTTCCTGGTTCAATACAGAAAAATTTAATTCATATTTATTCCTGCTTCTCCAATCCCTCAATTCTGAAGCTCCTTGGTGAGCTTGATCAGCTTCTGGTAGATTTCCGTCGTCTCGTTGACCAGCTTGATCATCTCGTCGACGGTGGCGAAGGCCTTATTGCAGTTTTCTTTCTGAAATCAGGGATTTTATTATTTTGCGTGATTTTGTAAGAAACGAATAAGCTAAAAATCGTTACCGTATTCTTCTCCAAGCACTCCTTCTCCACTTCCGCTTTGTGCTCCTGGTACTCCTTGGTGACGTCGAGGAACTCGTGGAAGGGATTCTCATCCGGGGCGGCGGTTTCCGTCTGGAAATTTCGTTTTTCTTGTTTTTTTTACGCCTGTTACGCTCCCTTAAAAGTAACCGGAAAGGCGACGCGTTGCGTTTAGCGGCTCGCGGCGAATTTCATATAGGATCTGGGTACTTTTGCATTATCGGGGGGGGGAGATAATTTTTTCCGAACCTCTAGAAAAGCCTAGAAACCTAATAGTGAGTATTTTAATAGTGGTCTTTAGAAAAAAATTATACTTTAAGGGGGGCATTATCTAAAAACTTCGGAAAAATTTTAAATTTTGTAAAAATTGACATTTTTAGCCGAAAAATCGTTATTTTTGTTTTTTCTGTATAAGTTGTAAAGTTTTTACGTTTGAGATTAGTGAAAATAGTTTACAAAAATTTCTACATTTTATTAGAAAAACTGGATCCGAAATGGAAACGTTGCCCCCCCCGATAATGCCAAAGCGCCAGAATCCGGAACCAAAAATCCACAGCCATGCTTTGTTTGGCCCTTGAAAAATATATCACCTACCGTAGTTTCGGCCGCAAAAGCGATAGTAACCAGCAAAAATACAATGGCCAGTTTTGTCATTTTTACTGGAATTATCAGGATTTCGCGGTGTCGATAGGAGCCCAGCGGAAATTTGCCGGTTCCATCCCGGTCGATCTCTTTTATCCACCACCAATTGGGAGGGGAGAGATATCAAAAAATGAGAGAGAACCCCCGGGATTTTCACCACGTTGAGCAAGTTTTACACCGGTTACGTCATCTAATTATACTGTAGCTTGATGGCACGACGCCTTTAAAATACAATGAGTCTTCCTAAAGCATTTCTGCTAGCCTCTCCATTTCCCAAGGAATCTCTGCTGGATTGCCGATTTTCTAAGAATCGCTGCTAGCCTGCCCTTTCCTAAAGAATCGCTGCTAGCCTCCCCATTTCCTAAAGAATCTCTGCTAGTCTGCCCTATCCTAAAGAATTTCTGCTAACCTGTCTATTATGCCCATTACGACATGTAATTTTAAAATTTATAGAATTCCTCAAGAATCTCTGCTAGCTTGCCTACTATAACCATTACGGCATCTATTTCTGCGACCTTTACATTTCGATCCTTTGAAAGTTACCGTTTGTGACACGATCCCTTTAAAGCGTATCCTTCCTCACTAATCCATGCTCGATTGCCTCACCAATGCTCTCTGCTAGCCTGCCCAGCGTCTCGATTACGACATGGAATTCGGGGCTGAACCGTTGCTCCATTTAGCTTTCCTCAAGAATCACTGCTAGATTGCCCCGGAAATTAGCGTCGTTAATCGGCGACAATTTTGTAACTGTGTAGTTTGTAGTTTTCGAGCAATAGATAAATTTATGCCTAGAAAGGCTTTTCGCTGGCGGTCAAGTTTTGGATGTGGTTGAAGATCTCGTTGACCTCGGTGGCGATTCTCACCATGTCGTCGATTTTGTTGAAGAGTTTGTGGCACACTTCGGTCTAAAAAACCGAATTAAAAATCCTAAGGAATCTCTGCTAGCCTGCCCATTCCTAAATCTTCTCTGCTACCTTATTGTCCTCAGCGCATCCCTTCTCGAGCTCGGGCTTTTGCGCCTTGAACCCGTTGACCATCTCCATTAGTGCGTCGAACGGGCTTTTCTTCTCAGCGGCCTCTGTCTAGAAAAATTCGTGAATTTCTGGTACGACAGTACCTTTAAAAGGATTCGTGGTTCTTTTGCATTATCGGGTGGGGAGGATCAGAAAAGCTTTAATAAATTTTTTAATGCTCTTTTTAATTTTTTAATGGTATTTTTAGTAATATTTAATGGTTTTCCAATGGAAAGACTATCTAAAAAACGGTAAAAATGTAACAATTGGAACTTTGGGTTAAAATCAGCCATTTTTGGTCGGAAAATCGATATTTTTGTATCTTTTAATCAAAATTTTGTAATGTTTTTACGTTTATAAATACTAAACTGCCATTTAGAAACACTACCTCTATTTATATTCGAAAAATTGGCTCCTTAGAAGAACGTTCCCCCCGATAATGCACAAGCTTCAAATTCTCTATCATTCTGACTCACCAAGTTATTTGCGGCCAACAGCAGCGCGGCGACGAGGAACAGCGCGAATGGTTTGTACATGTTTTGTTCTTGACGGGGCTGTAGATAGGAAAGAGGTGGAAAAACCTGAGCCCGCTGGACCCTTTTATACCCGGAAAAACGGGACTGACCTTGCCGAATAGTTCCCCCTGCATTTTTGTGCGGTTTCTCCATTTTTTCGGATGGTTCCGGGATGTCAGGGTCAATTTCGGGGATACGGTAATTGGGGCGAGGTTTAGGAAAACAAGAATGGAATCACCTAACCCTCGAAAAGCAGACTGGCAATGATTCTTTAGTGGAGGGCAGGCTAGCGTAGGTTCTGTAGGAAAGGACAGGCCAGCAGAGATGCTTTAGGAAAGGGCAAGCTAGCAGAGATTCTTTAGGAAAGGGCAGGCTAGCAGAGATTCTTTAGGAAAGGGCAGGCTAGCAGAGATTCTTTAGGAAAGGGCAGGCTAGCAGAGATTCTTTAGGAAAGGGCAGGCTAGCAGAGATTCTTTAGGAAAGGGCAGGCTAGCAGAGATTCTTTAGGAAAGGGCAGGCTAGCGGAGATTCTTTAGGAAAGTCTTTAAAAAAAGATTTTATTGGGCTACTGTAGCTTTAATGCCTCAACTCGTTCCACGACCTCCTTGATTTTCCTCGTCTTTTCCACTAGCCCTCCGATGAGACCCGCGATCAGAAAGCATTTCGTTTTCTGAAATTCTTCATGAAATTTGAATAACAAATTCCTAAACGAACTCTGCTAGCCTGCTCCTTACCAATTCGCCGGGAGCCTGACTGCACTGCTCGGTGACTTCCTTTCGCTGCGACTCCATCTGGTCGATGATTTTTGCCCAGCCATCGGTATCTCCTGTCTAAATCTGGGGTTTTAAAGGGAAGGTGACACTAGCGTTATTTTTCCCTAAAGCTCTCTGCTAGCTCCCCTTTCCTAAAGAATCGCTGCTAGCCTGCCTTGCTAAAAATGCATCGTTAAGCTTACCACGGATTGCAATATGCCCGGCTTTTCCTGATCTTGGGCAGAGATTACGATAATAAATATTACAGCGAGTCCGAGACAATACTTTAGCATTTTCTGTAATGTCGATAGGTGTCGAGTGTAGTCACCAAGTTTCCTTTTTCCGGCTCTATCCGCAAAAAATTGGCCAACTGCCGGCCAGATCTCATCTCTCAACGATCAATCATTTCCGGTTTCAAACGATCATCTGAGGAGAGATTTTGTAGTTGGAATTTGTCTATTAATGCATGTATTTACAAGGGGAACTCGAAAATTTTATTGATCGGACTACTGTAGTTTCAAGCTCTCAAATCGCCCGACAACATCCTGCAATTGCCGTGTTTTGCCGATAAACTGCCCGATGTAGTTGAGCATCAGGAAGCAGGCCTTTTTCTACAAAAAAAAATTGGAATTTTGTAGTAGTGACTTAGTGTAAACTACAGGCTACAAACGACAAAGTCTAGACTATAGCTAGTCACCAATCACTACAGAATATAGACTACAGACTACAACGTTTCCGTTTGTATTCTGTAGCCTGTATTTTGTAGACTACAGACTACAATATTTTTTGTAGCGTGTAAGCTAGACTACAGGCTATAAACTAAAAATTTTCTGGTTCTACCAGCCGTCTATCACTTTTTTCTAGGCCCAAGTTTGTACGAGTGAACTACAAACTATAGGCTACAGGCTACGTTTCGATTTGTAGTTTGTAGTCTGTAGTTTTTAATGTACACACCTTATTCTGTGGTGCCTCGTTGCACCGTGCGCATCCTTCACGCCTCAGCTCCTCCATCTCGTCGATCAGCCCTTGCCAATCCTCAGGGGTTCCGCCCTGTAATCCACAAATTCTCTCTGCTAGCCTGCCCTCCTGCCGCGCTGGCGACACGCAACGTTTCGAGCGCTTCCATTGCGTAATCGATTACGACACTTTTATAGCGGAAAAAGGCGCGTTGCGTTTCGAAAGCGCATCAAGAACTTCAAAGCGGTTTTAGGATTTATTTCATTCTTTCGGATCCGCAAATTGTCTCTGCTAGTTGTCGCTTTCAGGAACTAAGATATAACGTACGAATTTACTCAGCGCGCTCGGCTTTTCCTCGTCATCAGCGGAAATTGCTGTAATAAATAGTACAGCGACTACGAGGCAATACTTTAGCATTGTTCCGAGGTGTCGATAGGTGTAGCGCGTAGTCGTCAAGCTTGGTTTTCCGGGTTTTATAGGGGAGAGATCAGTTGATATCCCATCTCCCAACAATCAATCATTTCCGGTTTTCCGTTAGCAAAATTTGGCCAATAGAAAATGTCCTATTATTGCGCAACAAGTGGAAATACGTCGCGTAACGTAATACAAATTATGCTCCATGCACTAATGATATGATGAAAACGAGAGGCAAGCTAGCAGAGATTCCTGGCCAGGCGGTCTAAAAACTTTTTCTTTTTTCCCAAATCGCCGCTGCTAGCCTGCTCGATCGATAAGGTGCCTATTACCGCGCAAAATTAGAAACATAAATTGTCAAAAGGTGTTTATTGGATTACTGTAGTTTCAAGCTCTCAAATCGCTCGGTCACGTCCTTGAATTGCTTCACTTTTTGGACGAGTTGTCCGAGGAGGCTGACCAGCAGGAAGCATTGCTTCTTCTAAAAAAAGTCTCTCAAATTTTGTTGTTCTTTTCCATTACCGGGGGGCGGGATTTTGCCTAAAAAACCAGAAATGGTTCAAAATGTTCTAACAGTTTTTCGTAAAATTTACCGTATTTCAGGTGGAAAAACTAGCTAAACAAACGTAGAAAAAATGTAAAAATTTGAAATTTGCCGAATTTAGGTATTTTTGGTCCCGAAAGAGTTCTTAAAATCGATATTTTTGCGTTTTTTTTAATTAAAATTTTTGGTTCTTTCGCATTACCGGGGGGGGGCTGGACTTTTTATCGAATTCCAAACTTTTGTCTAGTAATTTAATAAGGAAGTGTTTTTAGAAAAATATGCGCATATTTTAAGTTGAAAATCTGTCGAGAAACCTTAAAAATTTTTGTAAAAGTCGAAATTTTGGTAAAACATCGATTTTTTCGACTTTAAGTAAAATTTTTTAAATTTTGTACGCCTAGGAACAGTGAAAAACAGTTTAGAAAAACTATTTTTATCTGAAAAATTCGATCCTCAGAAAAAAGTTGGAGCTCCTTCCCCACCCCCGATAATGCCAAAGCACCCCCAAATAGCTGGCCAAACCCTTACCAGTCTATCCGGGGCTCCGTTGCACTGTGCGGCATAAGCCATCCTTTGTCTCTCCATCTGGCCGATCATTTTATCCCAATCTTTCGGACTGCCGCCCTAAAATCCGCAAATTATCGCTGCTAGTTGCCGCTTGAAAACCCCTAAAATCTAGCCTACCATTTGGCTCAACGAGCTCGGCTTTTCCTCATCATCGGCGGAAACTACAGCAAGAATTAGCACAGCGAGTACGAGGCAATACTTTAGCATATTTGGAGGTGTCAATAGGTGTAGAGTGTAGCGTTTCACTTTCTGTGGTCGTATATACCTAGGAAATTTGGCGGTTCCAGCCCGGTCATATCCCCATCTCGCGCTCATCAATCATTTTCTATTTTCCGGGGAACCAGTTGGAAAATGGATAATTCCGAAATGATCTCTGCTAGCTTGCCCGGAATTTTTGACTTTAACGGCTGTTAAATGGCTTAAAAAGACGAGTTTAGAATATCGGCAAGCTAGCAGGGATCATTTGGGACGGCCTTAAAATTGGCCGTTCCGTTCCGCAAAGCATCACTGCTAGCCTGCCCGTTTTCGTGATTTCCGGTCGTAAATTTCATTTCGTTTTAAAAGCGCTTAAAACTGTACCGGACTGTTATTTTTATAGCATTTGCCGCAATTTTTGGGTTAAAAAAAAGCTCTAAAAAATTTTAACAATTGACGATTTTTGTTGTTTGTCCAAAAGTGCATGTAAAATGACCCAAAAAGGTCAAAAATTTTTGAATTAAAAAAATTAAATTTCTAATAAAATTTTTTGATTAAATAAATTATTTTTTTGCTAGCTCTCTAGCAATAAACCCTAGTAAAACGCTTTAAAAATACAGGATTTATTCGTAACCTGCGCCTCCCGCTAAGAGTCCGGTACCCTTAAAGCCAGCTAGCAGAGACTTTTGGGGAGGGCCATAATTTGCGTCTAAATTCCTGAAAGTATCTCTCCTAGTCTGCCCCGTGCGGAATATCGAGCTTTAGATAGAGGAAATTTATTCATGTGTATTTCTGGGTCAGTGTAGGTCCTTGGCAATTTCTTGGAATCGTCGCATGACGTCTTGCGTCTTTTTCGTCTTTCCGATCAGCTCCCCAATCGTTTCCACCATCGCTAGGCACGGGATTTTCTGGAAAAGTAATTTTCCTAAAGAATCTCTGCTAGGCTGCCCCCAAAACCTGATTTTATCGAAGGGTCTTTGGCATTATCGGGGGGGGGGCTATTTTTTCTGGGGATAAAAGTTTACTAAGAGATAAATGTTGCTAGCCATTTATAAACGTAAAAACCTTACCTAAATTGACATTAAAAAAACCATGGTAAAAACTTTAAAAAAATGTAATTTTAGTGGACCAAATCGGCCGATTTTTGACAAAAATTTAGCATTTTTGTCGGTTTTATTGCTTTTTTTTCTCTCGGTTAAGTTCTACTAAACCCACTATTATAAAATTTACTAAATTATAATAGAAAAAAGGAAAATTGAAATATATTGCCGACATTTGATTTATAGGAAAAAAGATTGCCTCCCCCGTAATGCACAAGCACCTCATAGGATTTTACTTACCCTTTTCTCGTCGGCTCCCTGGCACATAAAACTGAAGACCGTTTTCTGCCTCTGCATGTCTGCCATTAATTCGTCCAGCCCGTCGGCGCCGTCTCCCTTAAAAAAATCAAATTATTTGTTCAATTTAGACGGTAAAATTCACGATTTAATTTTTGTTAATTTAAATTTTTAAATTTATTTTTTAAGGCTTTTTACGTATTATTTAACTTACAAAAGTAGCGGCCATCTGCTTCGTCTCACTCCCATTATTCGCCTCATTTTCTGCTAGAATTACAGTAATCGTGAAGACCGCGAGTACGAGGCAATACTTTAGCATTTTCTAGCCCTGTCGAGAGGTGTAGAATGTAGTCGTAGTTGCCCGGAACGCTCTCTCAAATATATTGGCAGCTGATATCACCTACGAACCCGGAAAAACAGTGGTCCCGCCGCGGCGATCAACCCCGACAGCCGTAATCCATCATTTTTGGGTGGATTTTGGGGAGATGATTTCTCAAATGGTCTCTGCTAGTTTGCCTAGGGATCGAAAAAAATTTCAAATAATCTCGGCTAGCTTGCAAGGGGCTAGCCGATTTAACAAATGATCTCTTCTAACTTGCCTAAATATGGAGAATTCTTCAAATAACCTCTGCTAGTTGTTCAATGCTTAGTCGGCTCCTAAAAAATCTCTGCTAGCTTGCCTAGGATTGAAGGTTTTTCAAATAATCTCTGCTAGCTTGCCTGCATTGGACAACTCCGCAAATGGTCTCTGCTAGCTTGCCTGGGGCCAGATGATAGAGAATTCCTCAAATAACCTCTGTTAGTTTCTCAATGATTAGGCGGCTCCCAAAAAATCTCTGCTAGCTTGGCTAGGACTGGACGGTTCCTCAAAAGTCTCTGCTAGCTTGCCATAGCCCTCTCAAGTCCTAAAAATCTCTGCTAGCTTCCCCTTTTGCGCCCGTTCCTCAATGATCCCTGCTAGCCTGCCCTTGTTTGCGAATTAATGGTACCTTATCCTTTTTTACAAAAATTCATATGAATTTATTAATTTTTTTAGTGATTTAATGCATATCTGCGACAATCTCCTTCAGTCGTTGCAGGACCTCTTTCATCTTTCCCGTCTTTTCAATAAAATCTGCAATCGTTTCCACCATCGCGAGACAGGACACCCGCTAAAAATATTTTTCCTGAAGAATCTCTGCTAGATTGCCTTTTTCCCGTCAGCTCCCAAGCAGATGAAATTGAACATTTGATGAATCTGTTTCATCTCTGCAATTGATTCGTCAAATTGCGCGTCGTCACCTCCCTAAAAATGATAATGAGCTGAGGCTGGCAGAGATTCTTTAGGAAAGGGCAGGTTAGCAGAGATTCTTTAGGAAAGGGAGGCTAGAGGTTCTTTGGAAGGGGGCTAGAGAGATTCTTTAGAAGGGCGGCTAGAGATTCTTTAGGAAAGGGCAGGCTAGCAGAGATTCTTTAGGAAAGGGCAGGTTAGCAGAGATTCTTTAGGAAAGGGCAGGTTAGCAGAGATTCTTTAGGAAAGGGCAGGCTAGCAGAGATTCTTTAGGAAAGGGCAGGCTAGCAGAGATTCTTTAGGAAAGGGCAGGTTAGCAGAGATTCTTTAGGAAAGGGCAGGTTAGCAGAGATTCTTTAGGAAAGGGCAGGTTAGCAGAGATTCTTTAGGAAAGGGTGGGCTAGCAGAGATTCTTTAGGAAAGGGTGGGCTAGCAGAGATTCGTTCGGAAGGAAAAATAGCTTACCATTGCTGCCACGATCTTCTTGACATCACGCATATTTTCATCTTCCGCTATTACAGCAATCCAGAGCACAGCCGCTACGAGACAATACTTTAGCATTTTCCGGGGTGTCGATAGGTGCTTCACGTAGTCGATTGCTCCACTCAACTCTATATAGGATCGGGAGATCGGCAAAAAAAATGTTGATCCTGCCGAGATCAACTCCGACAGGCGCTATCTATCATTTATGGGGTAGAAAAGGGGTGAATGAATTTAAAAATTAATTCTTCTGTTAGCTTGCTCTTTCCTAAAGAATCTCTGCTAGCTAGCGTCGTGCTTTTTCATAAATTTTCTAAAAATACATTTATTTGTCATCAATTATCGAAATTAATCAAGATTTTTTAATCGAGTTCCTCGAGCAACTTGTTGAAGTCGGCGAAGACGCCGTGGAGCTCTTTCACTTTTCCGAGTAGCTGCTCAAAGCTTTCGACGAGCAGGAAGCATGTCTTTTTCTGAAAAAAAGGGAAATTCCCAAAGAATCGCTGCTGGCTTGCCTTGGCCTCGGGCGCCTCGTTGCACTTTTGCTTGATCAGCGACTTTTGGCTCTCCATCTCTTTGCCGAGTTTCTCGAACTGCTCCAAGTCGACGCCCTAGAAAAATTTGAATAACGAATCTCTGCTAGCCTTTCCTAAAGAATCTCTGCTAGCCTGCCTTTCCTCAAGAATCTCTGCCACCTACCTTTTTCTCCTTCTCCTCACTGCTGCTGCTGCTATCAGCCAATGCCAGGGCCACAATCAGCACAGCTACGATACAGTACTTCAACATTTCGTCCCGTCAGTAGGATCAATGCGGAATTTTTCCCTAAAAGAGCCGATTCACCCGGTTTTTCACCCCTTTATACCCCCGGAACTGACCCCAGAACTGGCCTTGAAGAGCTATCCCTTCCGCTTTTTTCTGTTTTCTTTAGCCCGGAAAATTTCTTGGGGGCCGACCTGTACATTTTCTGCTTCCTGATCAGAACAGTAACACGTCAAAATGAGCGAAAATTGGGAAATAGAATTTTGGGGGAATTGAAGAAAAATCAGGGCAGGCTAGCACAGCTTCTTTAGGACAGGACTGATTCCGAAACGATCTCTGCTAGCTCGCCCGCTGAAATACCGGGGTCCTTAGGAGCAGAGGTTTGTCCACGAATGGTCTCTGTTAGCTTGCCAACAGAGGTGACCCTATAAAATAGACCCACATATTCCTAAAGAATCTCCGCTAGCCTGCCCATTTCCCAAAGAATTTCTGCTAGCTTGCCTCGAATTTCTCCGTTTTTATCCATTTTTACGCGACGTCATTTGATCGCCATTTTCCCCAATAATTGCCGCTAATCCGTTCAAAATACACCCAGGAAATCGCGAAAAAATCACGCGTTTGGCGAGTTACCTTCACTTTCGTACATTTGCTACCCGATCCCGGAACTTGCACAAAAATCGCTGCTACCAAAGACCTAAAAAAAGGGAAACGGAAAGATCGGCAATTGAAAATGGTGAAAAATAGTAGCGGACCAATTTGAATTACAGAAAATTAGCTGGGCATTCGAGCAGAGATACTTTAGGAATGGGCAGGCTAGCAGAGATTCTTTAGGAAATTGTTTTTTCTGCGGTTTAAATTCAGATTTTAAAGTTTATTTACATTTTAGCACAAATCGATATCCTTGCAAACAGATTCGGGCGTGGCTCCCGGGTCGTTCTTCAGCTTGTCAACAACCTAGAAATGGGTTTTTAGGCTTCACTGGCCCTTTAGCGCTGTGGCAGACTAGCGGAGAGCTCTTTGGAAAGGCCTGAGAAAGAGGGCAGGCTAGCAGAGAGTTTTGGGCATGTGAAAGTGTCAAATGCCTACCTTTTCCAACTCGGAATCGACGAATCCCTTGCACACCTTGCCCATCACCCCGGTGCCGAACTCCTTCTCGCACCAGGCATTCAATTTCTAAAAGTTGTCCCAATTACCGTAAACCGAGATAATTACTTACATCCTCGTCAGCCTGCTCTCCGTTCTCGATATCGGTCTCGACTTGCTTCACGAAGGCCTGGCAGACGGGGCAGAAGACCTGGAAGGATCTTGAAATTAGAGGATCTCTGCTAGCTTGCCTCCTGGCGGCCTTTCCACTACGCTGCCCTTTCCTAAAGAATCCCTGCCAGCTTACCCCTCTCTCTTTCGGCTGCTCTGGTAATGCGACGGCGAGGGAGACGGCAAAGAAGGCAGCGACGAGTAGAAGGCACTTCATTCGTCTAAAAAAACCAAAAATCAAAATTTAGCGAGGAGCTAGCATGGATTATTTGGGAAAGGAGGGAAACTAGCAAAGATTCTTGAGGAATTGTAGAATTTGAGATCAGTAGCTAGCCCCTGAGAGGTTTAACAGGACAGAAAAGGTCTTGATGGTGACGGGCTAAAGATAAGAAGGCGCCCCATTGTTTTTGGACTCCTGACTTGTTGGCCCGTCTGATCAGGCTTTATAAGCTTCGTCAGGGGGGCTTATCAGTCTGAAGCTGAAGGCGCCCGGCTGATCATCCCTGTATTGTGAAACAGGGAGACAGGAGCGAGAGAGTGAGAGAGAGAACGAGAGGGAGAGAGAGACAGACCACACGTGTCAAATTATGTCCGGAATAGCCCGGAAAATGACTGTAAATGGATGGCTCGAGGGACTGTAAATTACGCCTCCCTTCCAGTTTACAACCCCTAGTATAGAAAATCCGGATCCGGGTAGAATCAGATGACGAACCGCTCGAGACCGGAACACTTTTATCAAAAAAACGGGACTTGGGGGACATAGAACAATTTGAACGGTAATGAGAGGCAGAAAATTTTTATGATTTGCCGATTTTATGATGAAAATCGGCTCGAAATCGTGTTTAAAGCGAGTTGGAAGTCTATGAAAACGATTTAAAAGGCCGGGCCGGGCAAGACTACAGGTTACTGATTACGAGAGGAAAAGTCGAGCCGCGGATAACGTTAAGGGGAATTGAAAGGAAAAGGCCGGTTCTCTACGATTACGACATGAAAATCGGATCGAAACTTGTTTTAAAGAGAATTGGCAGTTAAGAAATAAAATGTTACGACATCGATGGCTATTTCAAACCTGTTTTTTTCAGATACCAAACACAGCTGGATCAGATGAGATGTGTGGCCGAGGAAGGCGTCCGATTGGCCAATCTCACGTCAACACGACTGGGAAGAGCACAGCAAATGTGTCGGGTAAGCGGAGTTTTGCGTTCCTTTAAACTCCTATGACCTAGATTTAGCGGTTTTTCTCTTTTAGGAAAGAGCTGATGCCGTGCTGACGATCGACACATTTCTTCGATCAATTCAAGATGTCGACAAGAGGATACGAGATATCAATAAACAGGTATCGATTTGTTAAATTTAATTTTTATTTTTTCAGGTCGACAAACTACAACGATTTTGCGATCAAACCGAGCAGGCGATTACCCACTTGGATGGATTGTGCATGGTGGCGACGGCTGAATCCGAGGTTGGTAGGCTAGCAGGGATCTTTTAGGAATTGGGGCGGGAGAATTTTGGGGAAGGGGGGGCGGGCAGGGTTGTTTGGGACGCCTTACCATTAATGCTTCAATACTCCTCATTTAGGTGGAGCTCATCCAGGATCGAGCCCGAGTCATCTCCAGCTTGGCCCCTCCTACCACACCGCCACCCAGCGTCTTTCCATGTGAGTTTCATTTTTAGATCTTGGATTTTATTAGTAATAAATTTAAGTAGTTAAAATCTTAATTCTACTCGAATTTTCTGTCACGCTCCCTTTAAAAGGTCATTGTTATCGTATGCTTCAGTTCTTCAATTTTTATGCCGTTTTTCATCCTGAAAATATGTAAATTTCAGAGATTTCACTACCGTACTTCTATTCTTACAGTAAGTCGTGCTCGCCCGAAAAAGCTATCCACCGATTTTCCGTTTTAAAGGAACTGGGAAGTCAAAAACGGCGAAAAAATGCTAATTTTTGCCTTCCCGACCCCTTTAATTTCCTTTATTTTCCCAAATCCACCCGCTATCTTCCCGGCCTTTTCCTATATTTTTCAGTTTTTTTTGAAGGACTATCCCGGCTATATATTTTTTATGGGAGTTTTGTAAATTATGGAAGTTACTGTAATTTTTGAAAAATCTATTTTTAAACGATTTTTAGCCGCGATTTAAATACTTGCCTTAATTTCGCAAAATATCTTTTATCGATTATGTAAATTACTGTAATTTCACCAAAAAATATTTTTAATCGATTTTCTAAATTTTCTAAATTTTTAATTTATTTTTAGCCCCAGCCGTCCAAGCCTCGGATACGGTACGCGCGCAGCAAGAAGAGGTGATGCTCGAGGAATTTCTCTCAAAACCGTAACCCCGCTAAATGCCATTTTTCGTCCTTATTCCTAATGTATTTTATTTATATTGATTGTTACCGTATTCCCATGCCATTCCGCTACGCTCCACCTCACCCTTAAATGCCTAATGTATTGAATTTAGTAATTCAAATGCCATTTGCATTAATTTTGTATTTTTTTGCTGATATTGGCACATTTTTGGGTCATTTTCCGTGCTCGCTGCAATAAATTGTATTAATTTTCTTACACCTCGATCGATTTTTTTGGGTTCTTTTGCGCCTGGCAATCTTGCAGAGACGATTTGGGAATTTTCCAGCAGGCTTGTAGATGTTTCTTAGGAAATTTCTGCGCGCTACGGTAGCTGTTCGACAAGTTCGACAAGTTCGGCAAGCATGCAAGGCCATCAAGACGATCGAGTTCAACAGATATGATTTGACAATAGACCTGAGGCTGGAATTGAGGTATTTATTAGCTTATAGCATGGTTTTGTAAGATACTAGCCAAGATTCTTTAGGAAAGGGCAGGCTAGCAGAGATTTTATAGGAAAGGGCAGGCTAGCAGAGATTCTTTAGGAAAGGGCAGGCTAGCAGAGATTCTTTAGGAAAGGGCAGGCTAGCAGAGATTCTTTAGGAAAGGGCAGGCTAGCAGAGATTCTTTAGGAAAGGGCAGGCTAGCAGAGATTCTTTAGGAAAGGGCAGGCTAGCAGAGATTCTTTAGGAAAGGGCAGGCTAGCAGAGATTCTTTAGGAAAGGGCAGGCTAGCAGAGATTCTTTAGGAAAGGGCAGGCTAGCAGAGATTCTTTAGGAAAGGGCAGGCTAGCAGAGATTCTTTAGGAAAGGGCAGGCTAGCAGAGATTCTTTAGGAAAGGGCAGGCTAGCAGAGATTCTTTAGGAAAGGGCAGGCTAGCAGAGATTCTTTAGGAAAGGGCAGGCTAGCAGAGATTCTTTAGGAAAGGTCAGGCTAGCAGAGATTCTTTAGGAAAGGGCAGGCTAGCAGAGATTCTTTAGGAAAGGTCAGGCTAGCAGAGATTCTTTAGGAAAGGGCAGGCTAGCAGAGATTCTTTAGGAAAGGGCAGGCTAGCAGAGATTCTTTAGGAAAGGGCAGGCTAGCAGAGATTTTTGCGGATTGGACTCCTATAGAGATCAAGAAGATCTGTCCGTCTGTCTTGATGATTGTCTGTCTGATCGCCAATCCAAATCCATTCGTTCCCCCGAAATGCCAGCGCGTAACCCACGCCGCCCCCCGGGAGCCCCGAGCCAGTCCGATTTTCCAGCCATCGAACGAACCCCCCGGTGACGATGGTCTGCCATCCAAAAGAATGGGAAGGTACGCTAGACACCTCTGTACACCCCCGGGGTGTCAAGGTTTAGCGGTTTGACAAGCTAGCAGAGATCCGTTCGCGTAGAGCAGATTGGCGAGCTAGCAGAGATCATTTTGGAAATTTTTGGTGCTTCAAAGCTTCACTTTATGTCTGATTTTAAAGCAAGTTTATGAATCGATTTTTGAAGTAGGAAACCCCTAAAAACTTCCAATATTTTTGTAAAATTTGCAATTCGTGTTCAAAAAATCGTGATTTTTATGTTTTGTTAAAGTTTAAAGCAATTTTGAATAGGAAGTCCCTTAAAAAACTAACAACATTTTTGTAAAATTGGCTTTCTGTTCGGAGAATTGCGCTTTTAAGATTAAAACATGTTACGTCTTGGCTTTTCGGAAATTCCGTGTTAGCGAGCAAAAAAAAGCGCGCCCGGGCAAACTAGCAGAGATTTTTGCGGATTTTTTTAGAAGAGATTCGCCTGACATCACATGACCAATACAATACAGCAAGACAATCATCGGGAAGCCGTCCCATTATTAGCCAGCTGCGTGTAGCGCAATTTAGGGGCGGGGACACGCGCAATTTTTGGCCATCTGCCAGCACAGACTGTTGCATAATGGTAATTGGGACAATAGGACGGGAGGGTAATTACGGGGCATGGGATAGGGCTGTCTTTCCTAAAAAGTCTCTGCTAGCCTGCCCATTCCTAAAGAATCTCTGCTAGCTCGCCACCAAGTTCCAACTGTTTTTTCCATCCTTTAGTAGCGTTCTGCAGAGTGAAAGCCCACCTCGCTGATTGATGCCCGTAGGCGTGGCATTTGGTGTGCCGCGTTCTCTGTCTGTCCGTCTCTATTTCTCTCTCTCTCTCTCTCTCTCTCTCTCTCTCTCTCTCTCTCTCTCTCTCTCTCTCTCTCTCTTCCATTCCAATCCGTTCCGATCCGTCCATATTCCTTTTTTGGATTCCGACAAGTCCGCCCTGGGGATCGTGATCTGCCATTCCGACAGTTTCTCCGCAACGTGGCCTCGGGCTGTAGTTGTCGCTTTATCGGAGCTTAAAGGAGAGAAAAGTTCCGTTTAAACAATCTCTGCAAGCATACCGTTTCCGAGAGAATCACCGCTAGCTTGCTCTCTCTGTCTCTGTCTCTCTCTCTCTCTCTCTCTGTCTCTCTCTCTCTCGCTCTCTCAAAATTTCTCTAGTTTCTGGCACCCCTCCAAAAACTCCAATTCCCGAAAACAGCTGATCCTCGTGCTCGTTTTTCTCGACATTGCCTAGCACGAGATCCGAATCTCCCCCGTCCAGATCCAAATCAAATGCCCTCGGGGGCTCGATCGACTGAAAGCTTCTCCCCTGCCCGTCCAGAAAAACTCCCACTCCTCTGTATTTTCGATCCCCGATCGTCGGGTGTTCCACGGCTCAAAAGTGAGCCGATCAGCTAGCCTATTAAATACACTATTTCTGCTCTAATTCTATCTCTATTTTTATTTTGATAACATTCCGATAATGGCGCGGCGAAGCAGGTTTGCAGGCTTTTGATAGAATTTTTGAAAATATGTCTAATTTTCTCGCTCACTGGTTATAATTCCGTCTCTGTCCATCTGTTTGTATGTATGTATGTATGTCTGTCTCTCTCTATCGCTCTCTCTCTCCCTTTCTCTCGCACCCTCCCCTCTCTCTCTCTCTCTCTCTCTCGTTCTCTCTCGTGCTCTCTCTTTTTAATTCGTTCTCGCTTTTCCTAAAAAAAGGTATATAGACGGCACTTGAATTCGTAGTCTGCCATTTCATAACCCCCGTTTAATAAGGTTTTTCCCGTTTTTATGGTTTCATCATTCACGTTTTATTTTTTAATAGTAAAAACTTTGACGAATGGCGTTTAAGGGCTTTAGATGGTTTTAAAATCAGTTTTTTTAAACGGTTTTTCAGAATGCGCCCCTACCTCGACCAATTCTGCCAGCTGCCCAATCAGGGATACATTGTGTGCATCATTGGACCGATGTTCAGCGGGAAAACGTGAGTTTTTGACTTTTTAAGAGGTTAGGGACAGCTAGGAGATACCGTAGTGTAACGTACTGTATCGCCGACGTACATCTTACAACTTTTTAAGAGAATGTAAAAGTCACGAGTATTGTAGCGTAGCGTACTCGCGTTTTTTGCCTACTGTATTTTCTAGCAAAATTTGAGATTTTTTCAAGGTCGCGGTGATATTGGAAGTGTAGTTTTGCGTACTATCTTGTACGATAGCGTGCCGTAGCGTACTATAATGTACCTTTTCAGGACCGAGCTGATCCGAATCCACGACCGTTACAAGATTGCCAAGAAGAAGTGTGTGTTGGTGAAATATGATGGGGATATGCGATACGATGCACACCACATTACCACCCATCAACAGTACGTTTTTTCGGGCGAGCCAGCAGCGGTTCTTTAGGAAGGGCAGGCTAGCAGTGATTCTTGCGGAACTTCCGATCAAACTCTGCAAAAACTGTCATTTTTTAGACAAAAAGCCCTGGGATGTACCGTAGTTGCCCATCGACTGGCCGACGTACGCGAGACGCTCTTTGACGAGGACGTCGAAGTTGTGGCGATCGATGAGGGGCAATTCGTAGGTTTTTTTTCCATTTTTTTGCTGCTTTTTGTACACTTTTCCTACCGTAACTTCCAATGATTTATTTTTCTTGCAGTACGACGACCTGGCCTCTACCTGTGAACAGCTTGCTGCCGATGGGAAGATTGTCATCGTCGCGGCCCTCAATGGAGATTTCATGAGACGGGTATGCATTTTAAAGGGTTTAACTTTAACTTTAAAGTGAACGCGACAACTACAAATTTTCGGAAATGGTGTTGAAATTTGGATTTTCTCCCTTTACAACTCCGGAAGAAATTTTGTGATAGTTTTTTTGCCTTCCCAATTCCTTTAAATGGAGCGAGACAGCTATATATATCGTTGGAAAACGCGGTGGAAAAATAGCAATCTGCGTTTTTTTTATTTTACAGGGAGTGAGACACTGATTTTTGACGTTTTTGAGCTTTAGTGAGATGGGTTTTTGGCTTCCAAGTCCCTTTAGAGAGAGCTTAGCAGCAATAAATCGCGAGAAATTTAATAGAAAATTATTTTCGCAATTTTCGGGTTTTCCTAGGAATTTTAGCATTTTCGGATAACTGTTAGACTTATTTTTTACATCCTACTGGCCTTTAAAGGGAGCGCGACAGCTATGGAACTTCACTTTACAAAAAAATTTCTAGCCGTTCGCCGAGGTGTCCAAGCTGATATCGTTCTCCAACGACGTCCGGAATCTGTCGGCTGTTTGCATGCGCTGTGGCACGGATGCATCATACACATTCAGGAACACCAAAGAAACACAGGTGAGAGAGAGGGTGAAGAGAGAGCGAGAGAGAGAGAGCAAGAGAGAGAGAGAGAGAGGGAGAGAGAGAATATACTAATCTGTTTTTTCCAGGTCGAAGTCATCGGCGGCTCCGACACGTATCAAGCTCTCTGCCGTGCCTGCTATTATGCATCTTCAATTGCTAAGGTGAGGCGAGAGAAAGTGAGAGAGTGAGCGAGATAGAGAGAGCGAGGGAGAGTAGGGAAAAATACGTATTCTCGATTTTTCATTTCTTAAACCGCTAATTTTCCTTTTTTTTCAGTGCCACGACACGTGCTCCAAGCCCAACCGCCGCACCTGCAATGGATAATTTTGCTCTCTGTCTTTAACCCTCTCTAATGTCTATATATTTCCGCGCCGCTCCTACTGACAATTCCACAATTTACCCCCCTGTATCTCTGAATATACCGACCAAAAAACGTTCCGTGTCTTTCCGCCTGAAAACGTGTTTTTTTTTGTCCTCCTATTTTCATGTATTTTTTTTTTGTAAAATTGGGTTGCGGTGAATAAACTTTCTTTGGATTTTTCCTCAATTTTCTGTGTTGGTTTGCCATTTCCGCAAAGATTCCGTGCTAGCCTGCCCGTTCCTAAAGAATCTTGGCTACCCTGCCTTTCCCGGTGCTGATTCATTAACGGGGGGGGGGCTAAATTTCCTAAGAAGCCGTATTATGCTAGATAAACTATTTTCATAGAGCTTTGCGCCTTTTAGAAGTTTAAAGTTAATAACAAATTTAAGGAAAAAAGAGTTTTGTCTGTTTTTAGAAATTAAAAACGAGTAAAAATTGAAGAGAAAAGAATTTTGTATTTTTTAGAAACTAAAACCTGGTAAAAATTTAAGAATAAAGAATTTTGTATTGTTGAGAGTATCACTGGTTAAAAATTTAAGGAAAAGTTTCTTTTCTTTAACGGCCCGTTTCCTAAAGGATCCCTGCTAGTTTCCCCTTACTCGACCAGTGATTTTTGAGGTTTTCCCGGGTTTCCCCGCGCTGACCGGGCCCTATTCTTAGGGCCCCCGCCTGCAAAAAGTGTGAAAACTCACGGTCAAGTGCCCCTTTTTATGCCAAAAATAACCCTTGTGTCAAACTACCGATGAATTGGAAGTTAGGTGCCAATCAGCAGCCGTCTGTGGCCGTATATTTGCTAAAAGGTGTCCCCCGTTGCTGCCTTGGGCACTCGTCGGCTTATTTGAAGAAAAAACGATGTGGGGGAGCGCGGAAAGTCGTGTTCACACATTTCGGCACACCTCAAACATCAGAGCGAGAAAAAGGAGAGAAAGAATGAGAGGCAGATTGAGCACGAAAAAAGATGCGAGAACTTTGAACGTCTACCGGAGGTTCGGGGGGTTAGAAAGTTCTGATTTGGGCGTAAAAAAATGTGACAAAACGCTGGAAGTCAACGAAAATGGATATATTTAGCGTTTAGAAAGCACTATCGCGTAAAATTATAGTATAAAAGGGTCGAAAAAGATTTAACTTTCCTTTTAGCTCGTTTCTACCCAAATGTTTGCCTAAAAATTGCTAAAACCAAACCAAGAAAAGCTGGAAACAACGAAAAGCGCCAGATTTAGTGTTTAGAAAGAATTATTACCTAAAACAAAGGTATAAAACTTTTAAAAATACTAAATTTCCTTAGTTTGGCTGTAAACTATCGAAAATTCACCGAAAACGGTGCGAAAATCTGCAGGAAAAAAACGGAAATCTACTATTAATTATAGCTGCTCAGTAAGCCTTTTTCTATACAATTTTTACAGGGCAGACTGGCCGAGATTCTTTAGGAAACGCTCCAGCCCGCGGAGTTCCCTACGTTTCAGTCCAAACCACACTGCCCAGTGACAGGGCCAAGAGCTAGGGATTTTCGTACCTACAGCTTTTTGCACGTTTTGAAGGTCAAGACACTTGAATTTTAAGATTCTGATGTCATTTTCGGAATCCTTGATAATTTTTACCCATATTTACTTTTTAAAACATCGAAATTGGGCTTATTTTGGCGGAGAACGGTTAGTTGAGCCTTTTTGCGACGGGGATTCGGTTACGCTAGGTATTCATGCCCGCCCACCCAGAAAATGGTGAAAAACAAATAAACTTGTTTTGCTAAGTTTTAATACTTTTAAACTAGTAAATTAGGTTTTTGATACCTTTTAATGATCAGAATCGATGGAGAACAAGTTATGCCAGGTATTCCACTATCTAAAACTACGAAAAAACCCCATTTTTCTTGCCTTTTTTAGGTATTTTTGTGGATTTTAAAGTTGTTTTATATTTCTTGTATCCGTTTTTTAGGGGAAGAGATATTTGTGCTTTTATCTTTCGGCTCTTTCCCTTATTTCTCAAATCCTAGGTTTTTGCGTGGTTTTTCAAAATTTTTCATTCCAGATGCGCGCCACTTCCTCCAGAATCTCTGCTAGCCGGCCCGCCTCAATGGACAAAGCTTTATCGCTTGAAAGGTTCGAGTTGCGTTAATTTTTAAGCCATTTTGATTTAGGTTTTCGGCGAGCTTCGGTGATGTCGAAACGGCCATCAAGCCCGGCGTCTCCCTCAACGATCTCTGCTAGCCTGCCCAAGCGCTGTTGATGGAAATGAGACGAAACAGTGAGTATTTTTCGAGGGTTATTTTTTATTGGAGTTTTCGTTGACGTAGACTAGTTAGGGTAATTCCATGGGGTAAACGGTTTTTCTCATACGAAATATCGCTGTTCCGAAAGAATCTTTGCTAGCCTCTTGCATCTATTTCTCAAGCGATCCCTAATCCTACAAAAATCCCTGCTAGCCCGCCTAGAAAAAATATTTTTCGCGAACCACCCGGAAATCGGAGTCCCGCAGCCCATTTTATGACAGCCGCCCGTTCCGTGACAATACGATCCCGAACGCCCCAAGCAATAAGATATTTATTTGCGGAGCTCACGCGTAGATTTTTAGAGCAGATCACACCCGAAAAGGGGCCTGCACGGATTTTTGCGGAAATTCGTGGTTTAGACCCACAGACTTCCCGGTCCCTTTAAAATTAAAATAAATTGCCTAGAAATAATCTTATTTATTTGAGGGGCTGAAATTTCGATTTTCATGGCGCAGGCTCTAAAAAGCTAACAAACTAGCAGGGTTTCTTGAGGAAATGCTGAAGATAAAATTTGGTCTTTCCGGTCCCTTCCAACCTACCGTAATCTGGCTCCAAAATTGCCAAGAAATTGGCATAGAGGCTCAGGCTCTAAAAAGCTGCCTAGCAGGGATTCTTGCGGAAATTCTTTGCTGGAAATCTAGACTTCACGGTGCCTTTGGAACTACAGTAGCCCCGGTTCTCAAAATGCCCTAGTTTTGCCTGGCTGTTGCCGATGTCAGTCGCTGATCACCTAAAGCTCCCCAAGGATGCTAAAGAAAACCGCCGAGTAGTTTGAGGTTTTCTCTCTATCTCTCTCTCTCTCTCTCTCTCTCTCTCTCTCTCTCTCGCTCTCTCGCCGGGCGTGTGAACTGCGATGTCAAATATTTTACTGGGTGTGAAAAGCCGTTTGTACTTACCGACCAGCTTTTTTTAACGCTACCCCGGCCCAGGGTCCCGCCTGGAAAAAGGGGCACTTGAACAATCGTGGAAACTTGTCCGGGGGTTTAGCTTGAAGGTAGAGATCTTTGAAAACCAAAGAGAGGGCTAGCTAGCAGAGATTCTTGAAAAAATCGACAAACGAAGAAAAGACTGTAACAACTAGCAGAGATTCTTTAGGAAAAGACAGGCTAGCAGGGACTCTGTAGGACAGGGGGAGGTAGCAGAGATTCTTTAGGAAAGGGCAGGCTAGCAGAGATTCTTTAGGAAAGGGCAGGCTAGCAGAGATTCTTTAGGGAAAATTGCCTTGTTTTTGGTGTCATTACACATTTAAAAAGCCGCCATTGAGTGATCAAAGACTACCGGTTTTCCTGTAAAGAAACGGTGTGCACAATTTACCCTTTGGCCCCCTCCATTCCAGGCCTTCCACCCATTTTTTCTCAGCGTCCCACCCCAGCCGCGCAACTTGGCAAATAGCCAAACAATAGACTGTCTCACCGAACTAGCACCCGGGGAAACACCTACTTTCTCACGTTAACACCTCTGAATTACTCACTTTTCCCTAAACTTTTCCGTCCTTTACTCCTTACGCTTTTCCGGCCTTTTTCGGATGGTCAGGAACGTTTTTTGGTCCTGGGCCCTAGACGCTCAAACATCAGAAAATTGCAAAAAATGATCTGCGGTGACCGGCAAGCCAATCGTTTCCTAAAGAATCTCTGCTAGGCTGCCCATTTTTAAAGAATCCCTGCTAGGCTGCCCCTTCCTAAAGAATCTCTGCTAGGCTGCCCCTTCCTAAAGAATCTCTGCTAGCCTGCCCCTTCCTAAAGAATCTCTGCTAGGCTGCCTCTTCCTAAAGAATCTCTGCGAGGCTGCCCCTTCCTAAAGAATCTCTGCTAGCCTGCCTTGTGTTGAATTTGATATTTCCTGAGTTGCTCTGAAATTCCCTAAAAATCTCTGCCAGCTGCCTAGGGCCTCTCAAAGGATTTTTGCTACAATTCCCGGAATTCCAAGACGATCTCTGCTGGCTTGCCCTCAAATTCAGCCCTTTCTAACTCAACCAGACTCAAAAATTCGCAAATCTGATAACCGTAACGCGGAAAGAAACGGACTGGCAGACGTTTCCCCCGTGGATCGTTTCCCTTTTTCTTGCCTCCCAGTTTTTGCCCCGTTTTTCCGGACGGCAAAACCCAGTGAACCGTGAGGGGGAATTGGTTTTGGCCGGCATTCTCTGAAAAACCGATGGCAACTTTTGACTACCCCAAATTTCGGTAGTACTTGAAAAATTAAAAATCCCCAATTGTCACCGCTAGATTGCCTGCCCCCAAAAACAATTATATTCCTAAAAGGTCTCTGCTAGCTTGCCAACTCTTTTTGTAGGAACGTATTCCGAGACAATACTATGTTGGGGGTATTTTTTCAAAGAGCCGCAATTCCCTGCCCTACTTACGATCTTGAAAACGCGATAAAATCTCAAGGAACTCGGCGGGTCCCGGCCTTTTTTGACCCCATTCCGAATATTACTACTGACGTATTGTTTGTTTTTTGGAGTGGGCAAGCTAGCAGAGATTCCTTAGGAAAGGGCAGGTTAGTAGAGATTCTTTAGGAAAGGGCAGGCTAGCAGAGATTCTTTAGGAAAGGGCAGGCTAGCAGAAATTCTTTAGGAAAGGGCAGGCTAGCAGAGATTCTTTAGGAAAGGGCAGGCTAGCAGAGATTCTTTAGGAAAGGGCAGGCTAGCAGAGATTCCTTAGGAAAGGGCAGGTTAGTAGAGATTCTTTAGGAAAGGGCAGGCTAGCAGAGATTCTTTAGGAAAGGGCAGGCTAGCAGAAATTCTTTAGGAAAGGGCAGGCTAGCAGAGATTCTTTAGGAAAGGGCAGGCTAGCAGAGATTCTTTAGGAAAGGGCAGGCTAGTAGAGATTCTTTAGGAAAGGGCAGGCTAGCAGAGATCCTTTGGGGAATGAGATGACGCTCAGACAGTCTAGGTTTCTCTCTCTCTCTCTCTCTCCACATCACTTTTTCTATCACCCCTGACCCTGCAAAAATGCAAATCACCGCCGGGATTCTTGACAAGAAAATTGGATCCCCATTTCGGCGCGGGCTACGCGCCCAATTCCCGCCACCCCAAAATGTGGCGGCCACAAAAAAGGCCGAGATTCCGCAGCATTCCAAAATACGGGTCAGATCGGGCGCTGGAAGGTGTCGGAATGGGACAGGAAATAGCTTAAAATTGTCGAAATGGTATCTGCTAGCTTGCCCGGGATTTCCCAAGAATCTTTGCTAGTTGGTTGCCTGGGTTTTTCGGCCATTCCTAAAAATCCCTGCTAGCCTGCCTAAAATTCCCTAATTGCCACGCTAAGCTGCCTATAATTCTTCAAAAATTCTGCTAATCTCTCGGAAATTTCCCAAATTGTCTCTGTTACCTGATCGAATTTTCTGAAAGATCGTTGCTATTCTCCTTCCATTCCTAAAGGACCTCTGCCAGTTTCCCCAAGTTTCCGCAAAAATTTCTGCTAGCTTGCTCAAAATTGCCCAATTGTCAAAATCTCTGCTTACTTTCCAATCCTAAATGATGGAAAGTAACTCCAGCTGCTGGTTGACCTCAAAAAATTTTCTCAATAATCCCCGCTAGTTTGCCACAAATTCCCCAATAATCGTTGCTAGTCTACCCAATCTCTGCAAACCAGGGCCCAGGTCCAAAAAGGGGCGTGGCTGCACCGGGTAGCTATTTTCAGGCTGGTCCCGCTGGAGCTGCAGAATCCTACCGTAACCCCCTCCTGGGGCACGTTTTATTTGCCGATAGAGGCGGGAGTTCCCAGAATAAAATCGTGAACGAACAGCCGGGGTATAAAGCCACACTTCGAAGGGGGCACCGTTTAGAATGGGCAATTTGCACGCAATAATAGACCAGATTTTCCTAAAGAATCTGTGCTAGCCTGCCTTTTCCTAAAGAATCTCTGCTAGCCTGCCTTTTTCCGAAAAATCTGTTTTCTAAGTCGAAATTTTGCTGTTGGTTAATTTCATAGTTATTTTAAATGCTGAATAAGGCAATTTAAACCATTTTACTACAATTTTACCTTTTTAGAAGTCAAAAACTTTTCAAAAATTGAAAAATAATAAAAATGTCGAAATTTTGAATTTTTAGAAGTGTTCTGATCTATCTTTTCTTGGGTTACACTGTTAAACCATATCCCCCCGGCTAATGCACCAGAACCCCATTTACTAAATGATCTCGGCTAGCCTGCCCATTTCCTTAATGATCTCTGCTAGCCACACAATTGCTCATAAATCATCCGCATTCCACCCCATTCCTAATTTCACTTCCTCCCCCCCTTTAAACGCTTGATTATTTGTGCGGGCTGTCTGTCTATAGGTGTATAAGGGAAAAATGCGGAAAACAATGCGGGTGGAACGCCCTCGAGGCGGACTTTTTGCGGCTGCCTGTAACTAACGGCGGAAGAAGGGGGCGCGAAATGCCCCCCGGCTATCTCTCTCTCTCACTCTCTCTCTCTCTTGCCCTCTCTCTCGCCCAAAAAAGAGGGAAGATTAAGACGCTCTCGATTGGAGTGAAAATTCCAATCCCACCTCCCCCCGGCCTGAAGCAGTGAAATCACAATTTCTGATTACTTCTTTCGCGGCCACTATTCTTCCCACGAAGCGGTCATTTTTCGCTACCGTAACCCGCGGATTGTTGCGTAATTTGGAGTATTACGGAAAATCTTTTAAGGTTTTGCTTTAATGCTCGGATCTATTTAATCAGATTTTCTATTCCTTAAGGGTCCTTTAAAGCCTACAGTATCCCTGCGTACTTACGCAGCCTCCCGTAGTCGGTGGCGAACTCTCAGAGATTCTTTGGGAAATCGGTTACGGTATTCAGATCGTCTATGCCTTCATCTTCCCTTCAAAGCCCTGGTGTCATTGTGTAGCATAACGTAGTCGAGTGCGGCTAACTGGCGGAGTTTCTTTGGGAATTCGGCATACTTGTTCTGATTTTCTATTCCTTGAAGTGCCCTTTAAATACTACAGTAACCCCTGCGTCATTATGGAGCTTCTCGTAGTCGCAACTTGACCAGTTAGCAGAAATTCTAGGGAATTGCGCAAATTTTTCGGATTTTCTCTGCCTTCCTCTGCCCTTTAACCCCTCAGGTAACCCTGCCTAACTACGGAGCCTTTCGTAGTTAATGGTGAAGTACTGTATTCAGATCGTCTATCCCTTCAGTTGTCCTTCAAATCCCTGGTGTCACTACGTAGCGTAACGTACTCAGCAGCGGTTAGCTAGCAGCGATTCTTTGGGATCTTGGCATCCTGCAGTCAGATCATCCTATTTTCATTTTTACAGTAGCCCCGAATCTGCATTTTTTTACTCTTTTTCCATGTTTGCGTCTTGAATAGTACCCATTTTTCAGGATGGGCCGCGAGTGGCGATCAGGATGGCTTTTGGCCGTATTGTTGGCGTTGGCCGGAGCACAACAACAGGCTGAAGACGTTCAGGATGTCATCATTATTGGAGCGGGACTGGCTGGGCTGTCGGCAGCGAATAGGATTCTTGATGTGAGTGCTTGGGGCTGGCTAGCAGAGATTCTTTAGGAAGGAGTAGGCTAGCAGAGATTCTTTAGGAAAGGGCAGGCTAGCAGAGATTGTTTAGGAATGCAAATAATTAATCCTCTTTTTTCAGCAATCCCCCTCCACAAAGCTGCTCGTGCTCGAAGCGAAAGAAGCGAGTGGAGGGCGTCTCCTCGCCCATCAGATGAAGACAGCGCAGGGCCAGCAGGCCGTCGACATCGGTGAGTTCAGCTTGCGAATGGTCTCTACAAAAAACCCGGGATTTTCCTCAATGATCGCTGCTAGCTTGCCCACGCTAATTCCCCTTTTTCCAGGCTCCCAATGGATCGGCCCCAAGCACACGGCCCTCCTCGCGTTGGTCCAGAAATTCGGGTTGACCGCTGAAGTTCAGGTATTGTGATTTTTTGCTTTTTTCATGTGAATTTTGCATTTTTAGCCAATATGCGGCGAGCGCATCATCCTCAGCAAGAACACCGCGGGTACCAACTTTTTGAGCAGGAGGCGGAAGAGGTGAAAATTCAATTAGGGCTTTTGATAAAAATTTTCAGATCGTACCAGTGGTCATCTCTCGGCACGAGCCCCTCAATCTCTGATGTCTTCTCCTCGTCTGACCTTGCCGAATTTGGTGGAGAATCCGCCGCCGGTTTCATCAAGAGCGGCAACCTCGACTCGGTCGATGGCGATGGCATTCGACGACTTCTGCAGGTTTGGCTGTTTTTCTGGCCGTATTTCCTAAGGAATCGCTGCTTGATTGCCTAAGCAAGCTAGCAGCGATTTTTGGAGAATCGGATTTCGTCCGAAATTTTCGTATATTTTTTTGTTCAGGTGTTCTACGATGCGCCCGACACCACCGTATCCGCCCTCCAGCTCCTCCTGACGGCCAGCAGCGAGAATTGTGGGTTTTGCTAAGATTTGCTTTCTCAACGATTTCAAGCCGTTCAACCCGATTTCTATTTTTATCCGATTTTTTATGTAAAAAGGAAAATCGTAGTCCTGATCGGCTTGAAGTCGTTGGGCGGCCTCAGCAGAATTTGTTCTAGTTTTCATTTCTCGATTTTCAGCGACGATCGACGATGTGCTCTCGGAAATGGGCCACGGTACTGGGCTTCGTGTGAAAGAGGGATTGGGACAGTTGGTTAGGTACGCCTTGATTTTTTTTTGATTTTTTTTTTTTAAGCAGAGATCATTTGGGAAATGAGAATCTAGCAGGGGCGCTTGCGGAAAATCTAATCTTTTATTCATATTTTGGCAAGGTAGCAGAGGTCGTTTCGGATAGCTTTTCCCTTTTAATTAATTTGTTGGGTTTAAAATGAGGAAAATTCTATTTTTTTTTAGCAAACTGGCCACCCGGGATGGCCTAACGATCACCTACAGCTCGCCAGTCACCACGATTTCTCAAGGTATTTTTTATTAAATTTTACCGGAATTTCTTCTTCTGTTTTTTATCTAATTTCTAATATTATTTTGTATCAAATTAAATGGACTTTTTTAGAAGACGACGGCACGCAAACGATCACGGCTGGAGGCAAGAAATATTCGGCAAAACAGGTCCGTTTTTCTCGATTGTTTTGCTATCATTTTGCTGAAAATTTGGCTTTTTCGCTTCAATGTTCCTTTAAAGTTTAGATTTTATTTCTAAGGTTTGATTTTATATTTATAATTTAATAATTTAATATTTTTGCAATTATATGATAAATAATAATACTTTATTATGATTTGAATTTTACTTTTGAAATTATTTTTTAGGTGATCATCGCCGTGCCGCCAGCCATCGCCGCCGGCATCGACGTCAACCCCGCGTTGCCCCAGAATTTGGCGGCTTTCCTTGGTAGGTGGAGGGCTAGCAGAGATTCCTTAGGAAGGGGGAGGCTAACAGGAATTTTTTAAGGTGTTTTAATCCCGATTTCCAGGTTCCTACAAGCCCCGCGGATTCGCCACCTACTTTGCCCTGACCTACTCGACCCCGTTCTGGCGTGAAAACGGCAATTCCGGGCAGGTTAGGCATTTTAAATGGCTTCTAAAAGTTTTTTTAAGTTTTTAAGAATTTTAAAGAAAAGAATTTGATTTTAAATTACATTATTGGTTTTCGGTATTTTTTAATTGTTTGTAATTTTAGATCATCTACGCTGGAACTGGCGGTGATCTGCTGTGGCTGACGACATTCGACACGAGCGACAACAATGGATGCGGTACGTTTTTTTACTCGCTAGTTCGTTCGGAAAAACGCTTTTATTTCGAATAGGAGTGGATTTTGAAGCAGGGCAAGCTAGCAAAAGATCTTTGAAGCCAGAAGATTCTTAAAAATTGCTACTTCGTAGGGGTGCTAGCAGATATTTTTGAGGAAATTGGATTTCCAGGCAAGCTAGCAGAGATTATTTGGGAAAGCGCAGCCTAGCAAAGATTCTTTAGGCATTTCTAAATTATGACGATTTTTCAGCGTTCGAAGGAACGCCCGGCGTGCTGTGGGGAATTGCCCATTTTGGCAGCGATTCGCTGAATGCTGATCAGAGGTATGTAAGCAGTACGGTAGCGGAATTATTCATACTTTTTAGGTATGCCGCCTACGTCAAAGTGATGGCAGAAGCTTTCCCGAATTCTGGCGATCCGCTTGATCATTTGTGAGTTTTTTAGCTTATTTCCTAAAGAATTTTTGCTAGCCTGCCCTTCCCTAAAAATCTCTGCTAGCATGCCATTCAAATTTCACTATTTTTCAGCGACTACCAATTCTACGACGACGAATACGCGCTCGGCTCCGTTGGCACGCTGCCAGTACAGCAGAATACTGATGACGTTGCCGCCTTCTTCGAGGCGTTCAACGCCGATGGACCACAACTTAACCAGGTACGATTGTTCTCTCTCTCTCTCTCTCTCTCTCTCTCTCTCTCGCTTACCAAGCCATGCTCAATTTTCTAGCATAAAAAACATAAACGTCACCAAAAACGCCCGACGGTAAGGTGTAGCTTACTGTACATTTTCTATTTTTGCTGCTTGCCTCAAATTTTTGCTTTTTGGCCAGCTCGCAGAGATTCCTGGGAAAACTCGATTTTTTAGAGCCTCCACTTCGCCTCGGCCGAGTACTCCTCCACGTCGATGGGGATGATGAACGGAGCCGTCGTGCAGGGACAACATGTTGCTGACGTTGTCCTGAAGCAACTCGGCGCTGGAGATGAACAACAGGCTGGAGGAGTTGCTGCTGGAGTGGATGCCGCTGAGAGTACGGTGAGGAATTTTTGAAGATTGAAACAAAATAGAGAGGGCGAGACGGAGTGAGAGAGCGATGGAGAGAGAGAGAGAGCGGGAGAGAGGAAGAGAGAGAGAGAGAGAGAGAGAGGGAGAGAGAGAGAGAGAGAGAGAGAGAGAGAGAGAGAGAGGAATACGGATTTTTTTAGACCCAGGAAGCCCCGGCCAGCTCGTCGCTGCGCTATCCAGATGACCTGACGCCGTTCGCGTATGAAACGAGCACACAATATGCAGCTAGCAGCACCCAGGAGGTAACCTAGCAGAGATTCTTTCGGAAGGGGCAGGTTAGCAGAGATTCTTTAGGAAAGGGCAGGCTAGCCGGAATTCTTTAGGAAAAAGCTCTCATTTATGCAAATTTCAGGCCGCGCCCGAATCCACGACCTCTCAGCCGCACTACGATTTCCAGTACTCCACCTCGCCACAGTATCCGGATATCCTGACGACCGGTGAGAATTTTTTCTGATTTTTTAGTATTTTTTTGCGCTAATTGAATTTTTTCTAACCGACTTTTTTCAGAATCCGCTTCATCCTCAAGCACCGCCGAGCCGGGCAGCACGACAACGTTCGACTACACAGCGGAATTCCTCGGAAAAATGGTAGGTATTTTTCTGTTTCTCTCTCTCTTTCTCTTCCCTCTCACCTCAACATTTTACAGCACGACGCCTTCAACAAGCCCAACGACACGACCGACGAGCCGACGGCTTCGAGCAGTACGGTCATCTACCCGGATCTGTTAATGCAAAGTGGGTTGATTTTCTGCTGCAGAGCGAGAGTGAGAGAGGTGGAAAGAGAGAGAGCCTTACCGAAGCAGAGAGGGAGAGAGCCCACGGTATTTTGACTTTCTGATCACTTTAAAAACGTTTTTAGACGAATCGACGACGCCGTTCGTCTACGAAACGAGCAGCCAATACGAGGCCACCACCCCGGATACGGTAGAAATATTTATTAATTTAAATTCAGCTTTTTTTAGACTGTCGCGCCACCCGAGCAGAAGCAGTACGACTTCCCCTACAGTACCAGCACACAGTATGCGCCGGAAGGTGAGTGAGAGAGAGAGAGAGCGCGCAGAGAGCGATAGAGAGAGTGTGTGAGAGAGAGAGAGAGAGAGGGAGCGAGAGAAGGAGAGAGAGACAGAGAGAGCGTGAGAGCGCGTGAGAGAGAAAGAGGGAGGGAGACACAGAGAGAGGGAGGGAGAGAAAGTGAGCGAGAGAGTGTCAGAGAGAGAGAGAGAGAGAGAGACAGAGAGAGGGAGAGAGGGCGAGCGAGAGAGAGCTAATCTTATCGATTTTGTTTGGTAATTTTTGACATTTTTTTTCCAGATCTCGGCTACGGTGAAGCTTCAACCACCGAATCGCCCGAAAATTCCACACTTCCCGACCGATTTGTGGTAATTTTTTGAGTTTTTTAGTTTTCTAATTTTTTACTAATTTTTCGACTACCGTACTACTTTTCCCACTATAGAAATTAATTCCTATTTTTTTGCACTTTTCTACTACTTTCCTGTACGCTACTTTACCCCCGTTTCCAGCCCGATCTCGCACCCCCACCTTCGAATCTCACCTCAAATGGCACCGACACCGACTATCCGGATGACCTTGTGGGCATACTTTAACGTTTCTATACCTTTTTAACCGACTTTTTAATTTTTGAAATTGTTTAATTAATGAATTTAGCTAAATTGGCGTAAGTTTATGGTAAATAAGATTTAATTTCGTCAAAATTCGTGTATTTTCCATTTTTCAGATCAGCGCCGTCGGCCTGAACGCGACGCAACCGTCTAACGAGACTGAGGTGTGGTTTGGCATTTTTATTGGTTTGGTGGTTGAAAATTTGGCTTTTTGATTTCCAGAACATTTAATTTTCGACTTGATAGGTTAAATTGAAGGCTTTTAATTATTTTACAGACCTTTAAAAGGCGTAAAAATCGGTAAAAATGAATTAAGCGATTTTTCCACGCACTATTTTGCACTCGGAATACCGTAACCACCTCGAAACCGCACAAATTAATGCAAATTCTGAAATATCTGCTCCTACCGTAACTCAAAAATACCTAGAAAAGTGTTGATTTTTGGCATCCTTTCTTTTGCACTGAAGCTACCGTATCCTGGCCTCTGTAACGAGCACAAATTAATGGAAAACTCCGCTACCGTAAGCCGTATTTACCTACCGTAACCTCTCAAAAATGCACGAATTAATGAGATCTGGGATAACCACTAAACTACAGTAATCGGTACTTACCTACCGTAACCCGAAAATTTCCCTGATTTTGCACGTTTTACCCATTTCTTCTAGTCGACCTCACCCACCGAGAACCCGCTCGTCGACGATGTGATCAATTTGGTAATTAGCACCCTCGTTACCGTAACCCACCCTTTCCCCTCTACAGCTAAACGGCGAAGGAAACGCGACGCAGCCGCACGCACCGGGCAATGAGACGACGGTGGAGGATGCCGTACTGGACATAGTCGGTACCTTTAATTGTACTAAACACTCCTCTGCTCATTTTTAAAGGGACGGTGACAGGAGGGGGAAGTCCTTACCGGATCTCAAATTTTTCCAAATAAACCTTGCTAGCTACCCTTTTAAGCTGAACCCCGAGGGATTGGATAACAGCACCTTACCCTCTAATGGTACGGCAACCCCGGATGAGGTGTTGGGTTTGGTTGGTTTTCTCTGTTTTTCTGTCTCTTTTTCTCACTACTCTCTCTCTCTCTCTCTCTCTCTCATCTCTCTGTCCTCTTCCTTCTAACCTTACTTTTTCTAGCTAAACCCTGATGGATTGGATAATAGCACGTCACCAGCTAACGAAACGGCACTTCCGGATGAAGTTTTGAACTTGGTTAGTATTTTCTCGTTCGTTTCTATCGCTGTCTTTTCCAGCTTAACCCTGATAACAGTACTTTACCCTCTAATGAGACGTCGATCCCGGACGAGGTGTTCAATTTGGTTCGTTTTTCCTTCTTTTTCTGTCTCTTTCCCAAAGATTTTTCTCTGCTTCTCTGCGCCGTCTACCAATTTCTATCTATCGCTAATTTTTCCAGCTTAACCCGGAAACTGTGGATAATAGTACGGTACCGGCTAACGAAACAGCACTTCCGGACGAGGTTTTAAACTTGGTTGGGATTTTCTAGTCCTTTTCTATCGTTATTTTTCCAGCTTAACCCGGATAACAGTACCTCACTGTCTAATGAAACGGCACTTCCGGATGCAGTTCTAAATTTGGTTCGTGGTTTCTAGCTCTTTTCCATAACTTTTCCTAGCTTAACGCAGAACCGTTGGATAATAGCACCTCATCAGCTAACGAAACAGCACTTCCTGATCAAGTTTTGAATTTGGTAAGCACTTATCTATCGCCTATATCTGTCTCTCTAATACGTTCTATCGCTTTCTATCTATCATTTAGTTTTTAGCTTAACCCAGAACCCTTGGATAACAGTACGTCACCAGCTAACGAAACCGTCTTACCGGACGAAATTTTGAATTTGGTTAGTGTTTTATGTTTTTTTTGCGCCATCTGTCACTTTTTATCTATCGCCTCTTTTCCAGCTTAACCCGGAAGGTATCGATAATAGCACATCTCCTTCTAACGAAACTGTATTACCGGATGAAGTATTAAATTTGGTTGGTTTTCCCTTACCTTTCTATCGATCCTTTCGTTTTCCAGCTTAACCCAGATGGATTGGATAATAGCACGTCACCGGGTAACGAAACGGCATTACCGGATGATGTTTTGAATTTGGTAATATCTTCTCTACTTATTTGAACAGTTATATCTTACCTATCTCGTCTTATTTTTCCTAAAGAATCGCTGCTAACCAACCCCCATTTCAGCTAAACCCCGAGACACCCCTAAACGGCACGGAACCCTCAAATAATGGCACCGATGTGGAGGTAGCACTTTCAACATTTTAGGAATTTTCCAAAAGGGTCTCTGCTAGCCTGCCCTGGCCTACAAATATAGTTTTATTAACTATAACCTCTTGTAATGCATGAAACCACTTTTCCCAACCCCCAACCCTTGGCACTTTTCCAAAGCACCACCACCCCGCACCCTGATGAACCCGGGCTGTTTGACCTCGTCATGCAGCTGGTAACATTAAAATATGGAGATTTTTGGGTATCCTACTATATATAAAAAAATAGTGTTTGTGTGTGTGTGTGATACTTTGCATGCAACTTCCGTCACCATGTCCGGAGGATATCTCGATAGGGAACAAATTTTAAGGTATATATGATACGTCATTAGATGCGTAATGGCTCTGGGATGACTGCATGCTTATCAGATTTTACAAATTTAATTGTTTTAAATATTAAATTTCAGTTTTTGTAAAAATTTCGGAAACCCTCTTTGTTAGGAAACAATTAGCATGCACCGGAAGTGGTGGTAGCCTATTTAATCAGGTAGAGAGCGTAGTTTTTCATTTTTTTCTCATCGGGTTTCGAGAGAATTATGCAGGGAGAAGAATATTATGGGGCATAGACAGGGCCAGGGTTGAAAAGTCGCGAAGCGGCTTTTCAACCCTGGTTTAGGATAGTTTAATAGTTTTAAATTATTCAAAAATGTCCTAAAAGTGTTATTAACGCTAAAAAACTAAGCTAAATTCGTAAAAATGTATTAAAAAAACTTCCTTAATCTGTTCAAAATGCTTTTTTTGTGGTAGAAATCCTTCCAAAAATCGCGAAAGTAGTGCGTGTTATACTGTGTACACTTAATTTAATGCCGTAATCGGTTCAATGAGTTGCATTAAAATGCATTAAAGTGTAAACTAGGGTATAAATCATTTTTTTCAGCTCAATCCGACCGCCTCGCCGGACACGACCAACTCGACTACACCCGAAAATACGACCGACTTTGTGAGTTTTATTTTTCTAGAAATGAGGCAGCCTAGCAGAGATTATTTGGGAGGATTAAATTTTTAATTGTTTACGCTTTTTTCATCATTTCATTTTCGTAATTTTGGAAATTGAAAGCGTTTATTTGGGGAAAGCAACGCATTTGAGTTCTTGCCACTTAGGGCATGCTAGCAGGGCTCATTGGGGATTTTTGGATCTTTCGATTTTTCCACGTATATTATGACCTTGATTTTTAGGACGTCTCCAACGTGACGAGCCCCAACAATGCGACCGAATTGGTAAGAAATTTACTTTTTTCCAAATTACCAATTTTTCAGGACGACTCCGCCTTCAACGCGACGACCCCACTGACGAACAGTACCGATTCGGGCGAGGTAACTTTAATTTTTACCGTTTTAAAGGACGCAAAACTACGAGCCAATCCGTGAAGGCGAGCGGGCGCGTTGCGTGTCGCTTATCGGACGCTAGAGAACGTTAAAAAAAACGAGAAAGAGCGACCCGCAACGCATACACCGATTTTTTGTATTTTGTATATTTTATAACGGTCAGTTGTATGTATTTTTGGCTTCATTTTAGCTTGGCTTGGCTTTGCTAGCTTGTCTATATTTTTTGTGGCTTTAGGAGCCCGAATTCGCCCGGCTGACCGTTCTCCGCGATGTCCAGTCCGTCCCGCAGCAGGATGATGTAGGCTTTTACTGCTTTTTGTGTATTTTGGAATTTAAAATGCATTAATTTCGTGCAGGCGGATTTTATGGCTGGTCATTTTCGCACTTTTTTGCCATTTTTATAGCTGAAATTATGCGCTTCGTTCAGCGGTGCTTTCGCATTATCGGGGGGTGGAGTCGAATTTTCCGAGAAGTCTAGAAATGCCTTAGAAGTGTTTTAATAGCGTTTTTAGTAAAATCAGTTATATTTCAAGTAGAAAACAATCAAAAATATCAAAATTTCGTCAAAAATTAGCTATTTTTGCTCGAGAAATCTTTTTTTTTCGTATTTTCTATGTATATTTTGTAAAGTTTTACGTTTAGTTATGATAAAAAGCAGTTTAGAAACAGCTACCCCCCGATATTGCAAAAGCGCCTATGTTTGAAAGCCCAAATTTTATGCTTATTTTTGGCTTCATGGCTTGCCTTTTTTAGATGGAGAACAACACCAGCCCCACGACAGAAGCCTTCGTCTATCAAACCTCTTCACAATACCCCCCAGGAGCTTTTGATGACAACGAGGTTCTTTTTGCTTTTATCGTTATTTTTAAACATTTTTTGCTTATTTTATTGCGGTTTAAAACTGATTTTTTTTCTTATTTGTCGCGCTGAAAAAACAACACGTTTTTGGTTTTTTAAACAATTTTTAAGACATTTTGCATGTCATTTTACGCCAGTAATTCAAAAATATATTTTTTTTTAATCCTCAAATGATCTCCGCTAGCTTGCCCCAGCTTACAAACGCTTTTTGTAGCCCGAAGCGAGCAGCCAGTCGCGAGCCAGCAGCACCAGCTACGCCTTCCTCTACCAAACGTCGAGCCAGTATCCGCCGCATACAGCTGCTTTCCGCGAGGCTACGAGTGTACAGGTGTGTCGCGTAGCTAGCGTTTTTTGCGCCTATGGATTTGGCTTCAATGTGCCTTTAGACGCTTAAAAATTGGTTTATTGCGTGAAAATGGCGAAATAGGCAGCAAAAAGCTTATTTCATTTGTGTTAGCTGCTCAAAATTACGCTACATTCCGCTCCTAATGACGCGGATTTTTGTGCGCGAGTTGCTAATCGTTTTTTTTCATGTTCCCATCGCTTTAAAGCAGTGAAAATGAATTTTTCGACCTAAACATTACTTTTTCTTCGGATTTTTCATGTTATTTTGATTTTCACGACCGAGGCGATCTAGCAGACTTCCTTGGGGAAGCTAAATCCCTTTTTTAGCCCGATCTGAACACGCTGCTCCTCGCCGATGAGCCCCTGGTTCAACTTCTCAACGCGACAACACCAGAAGCCCCAGCCGCAACGAGCAATGCAACGGAATCGGCCGAAGATCTCATCCAGGAGGCCGTGCAGACCGTCGAGCAGAACATCAAAAAGGTCAGCGTTTAGATTTGGGCTTTATCTCGATTTATATAGAATTTTAAAAACTCTAAAATCGTTCGAAAAGCTTTGTTTTTTGGTTGTTTAAAGGGGGCTTAAAAACTCTAAATCACGTTTTTACTGGAAAAGCTTTAGGTTAATTATTGAGGCTTTTTAAACTCTACAATATTAAATACTGTACCTCTTTTTACAAGTTCTAGCACTCTCTTTTTAAAAGATGTGGACAGTTCTAGCGTTTAAAAACTGTAAAAGCTGTTATTTTTCCAAAAAACCTTTGGCATTAATACTACAACGATTTTAAAACGTTAAAATCCAATAATTTTTTGACCGGCAAGCTTCTGTGGAGTTTTAAAAGTCTAAGTTTTACCTGAAAAGCTTGATCTTAAGTTTTAAAAACACTAAAATCTCATAAATTGCCGGAAGCGCTTTGCCTTTAATTTTGTAAAGTTTTTAAACGTTTTGCAACATTTTAAAAGTTTAAAAAATCTGAAAATCGTAATTTATTTAGATAGAAAAGGCTTTAGCTAATTATCCAGGTTTTAAAACGGCAAAAACCGTACATTTTTATCGGAATAGGTTTATTTTGCAATTATCAAGAGCTCTCAACCTGTAAAAACGTATTTGTTAACCAAATCGAGCTTTAGGTCCCTCCCACTGAGCGGAAACCGATCGCCGCCCGACTGTCGAACGCGCTGGCCGCCCTGCTGAACCTGGTGCGACGACGGTGATAGGCGCGTAGCGTAGCGCTTGGCCCCCTCAGGATTGTTTATCTCATCGAGTATCCAAGGGTTTAAAGGTATCCTAAACGTTGCTAGATGCTAAGAATTGGTTTTTACAGATTTAAAAATTCCTTAAAAGTTTAAAACAGAATTTCTAGCTATAGCCAGCTAACTATCTAAAGTTTAAATCCTTAAAAAAGCTTCACAACTTAAAACAAAAACTTGCCAACATTTTTCCGCCTTCACTTTTTGTGCTCGTGCTCTCTTGCTCCTCCTCTCAGTGGCCTTCCACCCCCTGTTTGTACATGCATTTAGACGGTTATTCTCCCCCTCACTTTCCATGGTTTTTACGTTTTTAACGGCGCGCGCTTTGCCCTCAAATTTTTCTCCTGCTTCCGGTTCGCAATATATGGGTCCCGACCCGCGCGCGCTACTCAAATTGTGCTCGAATAAAATGTAAAATTGCAAAAAAAACTATAAAATTACATAGAATTCGTATTAAAAACGAAAACGCGAAAAACACCCGAGAAACAGCGACAAATGAAAAAAATGACACGAAAAACCCAGTTAAAGCTATGGAAATACGGTTCTTGCGCATTATCGGGGGGCATTTTCCTAATGATGTAATCAGTGTTTTAATGGTGTTTTAGCAAAATCTAACTATCTTTGAAGTGGAAAACAATAAAAAAAACACTTAGCAACTTTTTTAAGTGAAATTTCGGTCGCAAAAAGGCAATTTTTGGCCCAAAAATCGATATTCTTCTATTTTTTCATCAAAATTTGTAAAGTTTTTACGTTTAGGAATCGTAAAAAACCATTTAAAAACCCTTACTTTATTTCTATTAAAAAACTGGATCCTTAGAAAAATCCCCCCGATAATGCCAAAGAACCGCAAATCCCTGAAATAACTATAACCCTTGATAAATTATGCCGATAGATATGACAACGTGAATGGGATTATCACAGAAAAACCGAGAAAACCGCAATATAATACAAGTATTAATGCAAAAAAATTTAAATAAGAAATTGGCTATGAATTGTGCACATAAAATCAATTCATTTGGGTCTTATCTTCTTGCTGGGGCTGCTCCACGTCGCCGAACACCATCAGCACGACGCCGCCCAGGATGAGCAGGCAGCTGACGATGCCGCGCGCCGAGAGCGTCTCGCCGAGCAGCGCTCCTAAAAAGAATAAAAATACAGAGGCTAATAACTATAATATAATTACAATATAAAATTCTATTTATAAATAATAAGGTTATTACATAAACTTTATAAACTAATTTTATCGATCTCATAACTAATAAAACGTTTAATCTACGATTTACTAAATAAATGTAAGTAAATCGTTAAACTTTCATGTTTTTAAGCTAATTTAACAACAAATAAACTAGTTTTTATATAAATAAAACATTAAATTAAGCTTTCTATAATAATTTATCAATAAGTAAGTTATTTACGCGAAAAAATATAAATAAACTATAAAAAACATACTTTTTCTAGCAATTTACTAATTAAGACCTGTTTAACAACCGTTTAAACAATTTAATTTTATTAAAAACCATTTAATCTGATAAATAGAAATAAATCAAATCATCATCAAGCAAGTAATCGGGTTTATCTACTCATTTTACGAAATAGTTTAATAAATGAATTACTACATTACAAGCTCATTAAATATACACTTTCTATAACAATTTACTCACTAATAATCCGTTTAATAAATACTACTACTTAAATTAATAAAATTTTTACCAAACGAGTAATTCGGACCTGCTATGGCCGCAAAGACGAACTGCAACGAGTTGGTGGCCGGGACGACGACGGAGACGGGCAAGTGCACTACCAGGTACGTGAACAGCAGCTAAAAATAGATAATAAATATAATAAAAAATAGATTCCAACAATTTTTTAGTATGATTTTCAAAACCACAACTCACCCCGCCCGCCTGGTTCAACAAAAACGGCACGATGAAGCGCCAGTTCGAGAGGAAGTGCACCACCTTTCCGCATAGGCCTAAAAAGCCAATTTCAGGGATCTTTAGGAATTTCCTTACCTTTTCCCGGCTTCTTCTCCTGCTGATACTTCGTGCCGAGCCTCATCAGCGGGTTCGTCGCGCCCCAGATCGCCGAGACGAACACGATCTGGCCGAGGCAACGCGCGTCACATTGCATCGCCTAGAAATCCACATAATTTTTGAAGATAATAAAAAGATAGAAAAGTTGAATATTCCAAAAAAAGGAACATTTTTGTGAAATTTTCTATTTGATCAAGCTTGCTCATCGATTCCGTATCGCTACTTTCGACGCTTTCACCCCGTGCTCTCCTTACAATAGTTTGTCCCCGATAATTCCCTTATCAACAATTTGTTTTCTATAACTTTCTAAACTTTGTTCTCACTTTAAAGTATCTATTTTATGGTATATTATACGTTTTCAGGTATGGACGAGGGCGCGGAGCTGATCCCAGAGAATCTACGACGGCCGGCGGACGAGCCCGCCTCCACCTCGAAAAAGACGCCCACCTCGATCAAGGACTACAATGTCATAAAGGAGGTAAATTAGTTAAATTCAACTTTTATGTGTTTTTAGATAGGTGAAGGTTCCATCAGCACCGTTTACTACGCCAAGGAGATGTTCGGCGACAGACGGGAGGTGGCCGTCAAGTCGTGCCAAAAGCGACGCATTTTACGAGATAAATTGGTAGGTTTTGGGCTTATTTTGGCTTGGTTTGTGGATCTAAAAGATGTGTATGTTTAGGTAGACGCCGTGATGCGCGAGAAGAACATCCTGGCCCGCCTCTCCACCGCCGAAAACATGCACTCATTCGTCGTCGGGCTCTACTGCACGCTGCAAGACGCCGAGACGCTCTTCTTCGTCGTTTCCTACGCGCAGAGTGGGTTTTTCGCGACGCTAATAGGGGAGAAATAATAATTAAAAAAAGCTTGAAAAGTTTGAAACCGTGGCTGCTTAGAAAGCTATTTTGATTTGGCTGAGACGGCTGGTGAAGGGAAGTAAAACGTTTTTTTATTGTTAGTAGGATTTTAGCATTGCTAAAACTTATAAAACATGCGTAAAATTCGCAAAATTTGACGGTTGAAGATTTTGACGCTAATTCAGGCATTTTTCCGGCCAAAAACCATCATTTTCGGCATCGAACAACGTTTTTATTTAGAAGGCGACTTGGCGACGATCATCCAGAAGCTGCCCGAGAAAAGGATGACGTTTGAGCAGTCGCGGTTCTATTCGGCAGAACTTTTGGCGGCGTTAGGTAATGATTTCTAAGATTTTTGATGATAGTATTTTTTACAGGCCACATCCATTGGCTCGAAGTGATCCACCGCGACGTGAAGCCGGACAACATCCTCGTCAAGGCCGACGGCCACATTTTGCTGTCGGATTTCGGGTCGGCTAAGGATCGAACGCTGCCCGAGAAGGAGCCACAGCCGGATCCGAGGTGAAATTAAGATTTTTTTTGATAGATCCACCATATCTTTTAGTTTGTTATTTACTAGTTTTTTTTATTCTTCATAATTCTCAAGTTTTACGAAAATTTAAAGTCATCGATGTTCGGTTCTTTCGCGTTATCGGGGGGCTTTTTCCTATAAGTAACGTACCAGAAGCGTTTTAGGCAAAATTTAGCGTAATTTTAAGTGGAAAAACAATAAGGAAACTTAGAAAAAATAATTACGTGCCATTTTGGTCGAAAATCGACCATTTTTTGTTCAAAAATCGATATTTGTGGTATTTTCCGATCGTAATTTGCAACGTTTTTACGTTTAGGAATATTAAAAAAAGATCTTGAAAAGTTTTCCTCTATTTATATTAGAAAAATTACATCTTTGTAGAAAGCGAAACCCCCCCCCCCGATAATGCGAAAGTACCCTGATATTTTTCAGAAACCCAGACGGCCCGCGAAAACGACGCGCTTCTTTTGTGGGCACCGCGCCGTACGTGACGCCGGAGGTGAATCTTTGCCCGGTTTCAAGCCGGAAAACCGAAGCGGAAAGGGAACTCGACAAGCAAAAATGCCGAAAACGGAAATGTCGAAAACGAGAATGCCGACAAGCAAGAATGCGGAAAGCCGAGATGTGGATAGCTAGATTCTCGACACCTAAAATCCAGGCTACATGCAAAACGCGTTTCGATTCCATGCGCTTTTGTGCCCAAATTTCGATTGTCGGCATTTTGCACGTCGAACTTTCTTTTTTTCGGCATTGTGGATGTCGAATCCCGTTCTGTTGTCGAAGCCAGAATGCCGACAAATCGACGAGCAAAATGCTCAGTTGACTGCAAAAGGATTTTTGATTTCAAGTGTCTGTTTGTCACAATTAGGTCGCGGGTTTGCTATGTCGGTATTTTGGCGTGTCGGGATTCTTCTCTTCCTGTCGGTGTTTTCGGTGTTCTCCGTTTACCCTTTTTAAAAGCCTATTTTTCAGATGCTCCAAGGCAAAGAAGCCGACGAAACGTGCGATTTCTGGGCCCTCGGCGTCACCGTATTCCAGTTTTTGACAGGTTTAATTTGGTTCCCGCTTTTTAAAATTTTGTTTAGGAAAGCATTGCTTCCACGACGAGAGCGAGTACCTCATTTTCCGCAGAGTACAGGTAATTTTTTGCTGGAAAAATTAGGATTTTGACTTTTAGGAGCTCCTCTACAAATTCCCGGACGATTTTCCAGCAACGGCAAAATCACTGGTCGAGGCGCTGCTTGTCGTTGAGGTATCTTTTAAACCATGTTTTTTTTCCTATTTACCGTATATTTAAACCCAGAAAGCTATTTAAAACGTATAAGAAGGCTTAGATTTTTGACGTTTTGATCGAAAAATCGAGATTTCTTGTATTTTTTAGCAAAATTATAATTTTCTGACGTTTAAAAGTAGTAGATCGAGTTGCAAAACATTTTTCTACTTATTCTAGTGCAAATTTAGTTGTTTTCAAACTGGAAAACGTCTTAGAAAACCTAGAAAAGCCAGAAATTTGAATTTTTTTTGAACCAAAAAGGCTATTTATGTAATTTTGAGCCAAAAATTTGTAACTTTTTAATCTTAAAAAATCGTGAAAACTATTTTAAAACCTCTTATCTATTTATTTTAGCAAGATTTCTCCGTTTTTGAACTCGGATACGTACTTGAAAAATGCTTAAAATTAGAATTTTTGGTCCAAAAATCTTTATTTCTTGTATTTTTAGCAATATTTGTATCTTTGTAATCTTTAAAAAACATTAAAAATGTCAAAAATCTATCTATATTCTGTTTTTAGCCCTCTGAACGTCTTGGCAGCGCGGCGCAGGGCGGCATCTCCTCGCTGAAGCAGCACGACTTCTTTGACGGCGTTCAATGGGATTCCCTCGAAAACACGAAGCCCCCGTTTTTAATTTAACGGTTTGTGATTTTTTGTAATTAAATGCATGCTTCTTTCTTTTATTCCTGTAAATTTTTTATGCGCTGAATAATTGTTCCATTCCTATAAATATGGATGTCCTGTGATTTTGCAGTTTTTAGGGATTTTTTCCGTGTGTTTTTATTCGCTACTTTATAAGTATCTAGTCCGTTTTTTCTTGTGCAATGAGATTTTCTATGTAATAAAATTTTTTGCATTAGAATTTTGTAATTTTAAAGTTTAAATGGGTTTTAAACTGCCCTATTTATCAAAAATTATATAAATTTTTTAGTGGCTCTCAAACTTTATTACAGGCTTTTCTTATAATTTTCAAAGTTTTGTATTAGTTTTAAACTGGTAATATCGATTTAAATAAGCAAAAACTTTCTTTTTGATCACGTACGATTCTTCTAAAGTTTTTTCATCAATTTTCACGTATTAAGCTATGAATCTCGATAAAACGACCTCCAAAGTAGCGTTTTAATTTGCTTCCGATTTTTCTAAAACTGTTTTTTATAATCGTAAATTACAAAATAAATACAGAAACTGCTGATATCGATCGGAAATTGCTAACGTTTTTCTGAATTTCATCGATTATTCCGTCTTTTTTTGTAGCTAAAAATGATTTTAGAAACTGCAAATGTCGATTAAAAAATGGAAAATTTGTTTTGAGTCTGATCTCCGATTTTTCAATGTTTTTTTCATAAAAAAAATTAACGATAAAAATAGAAAATGACGTTTTGTATCTGATTCCCTACTTTTCTACTTTTTTCATGAAATTTTCATGTTTTAAATGGCTTTAAAACTCGGGATATTGATCAGAAATTTCTAATTTATGTTCTCTATTTTTATAAGCTTTACCTTATTCTAAATATTATTTTTTATTTACATTCCTAAATTCAGAGATGGCTGCTTCACGTGTGGCCATCATCACTGGCGCCTCGTCGGGCATCGGCAAGGCGGCCGCGCTGCTCTTCGCCTCCAAGCAGTTCAAGCTGTCGTTGACCGGAAGGTAGAGTCGTTTTATTTTTCCTGCTTTAACTATTGCTTAGAAACGAATCGGCGCTGAAGGAGCTGGCCGCCGAGTGCATCAAGCGCGGCACCCCGGAAAACGCGGTAAGCTTTTTCATAAAAAATGGCTTCCGGAAACAGAAAAATTATTGTTTCGTTTTATTTATTAATTAATATTGATTACCATTAATTTTTAGGTGACCTTCTCGGTGACGGACCTGTCCGCCGACGGCGCCCCCTCCCAAATCGTCTCCCACACCCTCGACAAGTTCGGCCAAATCGACACGCTGGTGAGTTTTTTTTGGAATATCTGGGGAATATTTTTGAACGGTTTGAAAGCTTATTTGAATTCCTACGCTTTTTTAGCTTTCAAAAAGGGTGATTTTGCAATTCGCGCAAAACTACTCTAATTTGAGTTTTTTGAGTATTAATAAAAAAAAAGAGTTGATAAAATGGCTTTAATAAAACGTAATATAGGTCTAAGTAGGAAAGTAAAATCCCCGATTTCGTACAAAATCCCAGTTACCGGTATAGAACCGAAAGTAATAATAGGTTTATTGAAATCAATAAAACCACCTAATAAAAATACATTAATAAATATTTTTTTATTATCAATTCAATAAAATCCATTCTTTTAGGTAAACTCGGCCGGGATCCTGACGAGTGGCCCGGTGCTCGAATCCGGCATCGACGTCTACGATCGTGTGATGGAGTGTAATGTCAGAAGGTATAGAGCTTTTTGTGCTTTTACAATTCAATACCAATTTTTGAAAAATACAATTGAT